GGGAGGCGGATAGTGAGGGGGGGTGGGAGAAGTATGTTGTCGGGAAGGTGTTTGGGTGATAGTCTTCGTGAAAACTGGAGTCTCTGGAGAAGTGATCAGACAAGCCAATAATCAATCTATTGATCGTATGTCTAACAGCGCTTACCCAGGGCACGAGTGCTGAGACTATCGGCAAGGTTACAGCAAGACGAGGCCCAAATCCATTATATTGCGATCTTCTCAGACAACATAAGCCGTACTTTCCACAATTGGGTCTCCTGTTCCTTTTGGCGAATCGCTCGGGAGCTAATTCCTCATGGTCTCGCGATATTTTTTAGCGCCTATGGTCGGGAATGATTCGAAGATTAATTGGCGCCGGGAGGCGGGGCCCTATTTCGATCCATCTATTTCTTGCGATGATTCGAGGAATGTAAACGCTCATTCTAAGATTAGTAACCTGGCGCTTACACTTAGGTGTTTGAGCCTCGAGAAAGTATGTATGGTTCACTGGTGGTGGTCGCTTTCAATGTTGCTTCGAGGCTCACCTGCATTTTTTGCCGGTCTGTTCAGCCTCGAGGCAGCGCTAACTGAAACTCTGGGTGTAGCATGTTAGATGAGAGGCTGTAGCACGCTCTGAAATTGTACTTAGAGGCTGAATTCGGTGCCGCTGTATATGAGGCTTAGCTGGCGGGATTTTGACTGGAGGGTGTTCGACGTTAACTCGTAGGACTCCTCCACCCGAGCGCTTATAGGGGTGTCGGTATCTGTATATGGCATGTGAACATCATAGGAGCAAGCTGATGGGAGAGCATAAATACCCACGGTTTTCCTGGCCATGTCAGTCTTTCTCATTCCAATCCCCAGACTTGTGCTTTTCTCCTTGATAATCTGAATCCTAGACGTTGCTTCCAAGCCATCCCTCCATCCACCAAGGGTTTGCTTTCCAATAGTAAGTCGAGGATATCGTTAACGTCTAAGTTTGAGAAACGGATGGTCCATCAGTTCGCGAGCTGTCATCCGCTTCTCTGGGTGCCAGGTGAGCATTTGTCGAACAAAAGATAAAAATGCCTCTCGGTCCTTCTCTTCGAGGAATGGAATTGTATCCTCTAAGCTCTGGGGCGGAATCAACTCATCGTGTTGAAATTCACCTTGAATGGTTAGTATGCCAGGATTCGGGTACGAAGTCTTGCCAACCCACCTTCTGTGTTGAAGAAAGGCCCACCAGAAAATTCTTGGGCGTTATTGCAGAGTTTGCCACTGTCGTTCGTGACAGGCTGGGGCCAGTTGTGCTCCGACATGGCCTTGGATTTCGCGAGCAATTCCGCTGGGGGTGGGCCGAGTAGGGCAATCATTTCTGCGAGGTGTGACTTTGCGTCATAATGGCCTTCTGGATCATGCACCTGCTGAAATAACTCCTTGCTCCCAAGGATATTCCACAACTTGCCGGACAAGATTGTTAGGATGAAACCCAAACCAGCGATTGTAATCAAAAGAAAGGGAGACGAAAAGCCCGTTGCGTTGTACATTATGCTCCAGAAAAGATTACGGGGGTCTTACCAGTACACCAAAATTCCAGATATCTGCCTTGAAATCCCAGCCGCAGCCAAGGATTACCTCTGGAGCACGATAGTAGTCTGGCTGGATAGGGTAAACGCCAAGTTGCTGCCCTACCATCCCGTCTCGAGTAGATGGCTTGTCAAGTCTAGTTGCGAGTCCGAAATCAACTAATTTGGGAATCAAATTCTTGATGTCTCTCCCGTCAAGAGCACCGAAGTCATTATGGCAGCGGTAGATAATCCGACCGCTCTCGCCGTCAACCTTGCATTGCATTGGTTGTAGTCGTTCAATAAACCTGGTCAGAATGTTTTCGTTTTCAAAGCTCATGAGGATATTTCCGAGCTTTAGATCTGGTAGATAAATGAGGTCCATGTATTTCAGAATCGCCACAGCAAAAGCGCGGCAACTACTCACCCGCGTGAATAACCTTGCACTCTGAATGGAGATAATCAAGTCCAACAAGGAGGAAGTAGATATAGGCCTTTGCAATGGGCAGTGGAAGCTTTCGATCGATAAAACGCCTCTGCAGAATCCAGAGAGGCTCTCTCATCGGTTCGTATACGAGACACACGTGCTTCCCTTGCGGGCCAGTTACCTCAAAGTCATCTAGACATGTCCGTAGAATCACGCGGCCACGATGCTCGGGATTCTGCTGGGTGATATGGCTCTCAATCTCCTTCTCATGCCGAGCATCATCGGCGTCATTACTGTTAATTATTTTCAAGGCCACTGTTTGTTCTGATTGCCACTTGAATCTTGATTGTGAGGGACCGGGTCAGTGTTCCTAGTCAACATGAAGCAGGCAAGCGCGGGTACCTTGAGATGTCCCGAGCGAGCCACACGGTTGATTGTGAACCCCAGCCAATTTTGGTCAGGAGTTGGAATTTCTCAGCCAGGACTTCCCCGGGCTTTGCTGGGTAACAATTTGCTGGGTCATAGTCAGGACATATCTCCTCGTCGACAAGTTCCTGTTGAGGAATGGGCGGTCCTGAGTCGGACGGTAACTGCCAAAGCGACTTTTGAGCAAAGGAGAACATAGTCCGTCGCGTTGTCACGGACAGCCGCCGAAGAGGTAACATTAGGCCATTCAAGCGTTATTGAATGCTCGGGAGACGATCAAGTACCTGGGGAAGAAAGGTACAGGAAGCTGAGCTCCCTAAATAGCCGCCAGGAGGCTTAATTATGTAGTATGACTAAGCGCCAAGCATTAGTTAGTTACTTCAACTTGGGCTTATACTGGGAGTACTCAAACTATTGGAAGTCGTAATGAAGTACCAGACAAGAGAAGGATATGATAGGAATCGGGAATGATATCAATGTCACTAGGCTAATGGACATGTAATCTGGTCATTCATAGTCTGTAAGCGTGTCAGCGTGCTACAGTTCCCGGCGTTCATCTGCGGCAAGTGGGTGCGTGATCATGGTTCTGTACGAGGACAATCCTACCTTGTATTCTCGCAAGTTCGGTCTGAAAAGCTGGGAAATGAGACATCAAATAATAGTATGATCTTACTAAGACTTCACTGATCCAAGATGTCTATAGAATTACTGGCTATTTCAGAATCACGTATCTTCCGCGATCTCTTATGTATTCTCCCTCTACAGGGAGTATCTACTTGTGGGATAGCCATTTAACCTAGTCCACAGACACAGATAGAAGTGGATAGTATACAGAGCTCTTACATACTATAGCTTGACGGAACATGGTAATTATTATTGTCTCAATCAACATAACGCTATAAAGGCTTATTTTATTTAAACATCCCCGCTTGCTCAGTAACCGTCGCAGTTTCAGTGACTTTCTCAGTCACGGTCTTGGTCTCGGTCTCTTTTTCCGTTACGGTCGTAGTCTCGGTTTCTATCTCCGTCACGGTAATGGTGATATAACCATACCCTGTGGGTGTGACGGGAACGATCTTGAGAATGTCGCTGGCTTTAGTGGAATAGGTTGTTGTGGTTGTTGTTGCTGCGGTTGCTGCTGTTGCTGAGGTTGCTGAGGTTGCTGCTGTTTCAGCTGGGGTTGATGTGGATGTGGTTGTTGCTGCTGCTGCTAGGTTTGTTGTGGATGTGGTTCCTTCGGCTGTGGTGGAAAGTGCTGAGGGTTGGTGGGTATACGTGGGTGTCACTTTTATGATGATTATCGATGTCATTGTAGATGTAGATGTAGGTGTGTATGTATTTGCTTCTTTCGTTTGGGTGGAGACCGATTCTGGGGCGCTAGTGGCAGATGATCCTTGAGAGAGGGTGATGGTCAGGTGGGTGGTTACCCATGAGGTTGATGTTGCATGAATAGTGCTTGCTTCGGATTTTGAAATTGTAGTTGGGGTAGAGGTGGTGTCCGGGCCAGGCATATAGGAAGTTCCAACGAGAGTGGTTGACCCTTCGGGCGTGACGAGGACAACGACCGGGGTGAGGGCCGAGGTTGTGGTATCTGTTTTTGATATGGTCTCAGCCACGGTTACGCCGATAAAGGGTGAGGGCTTGTGTGAGGTGGGAGCTGGTGTTTCTGCTTCTAAGTTGGTGGTCTTGCTTATACCGATGGTCACTCCAATGAATGGGGAGGGCTTGTGCGAGGTTGGTGTAGGGCTTTGCGAGGTTGGCCTTGCCTCACCGCTAGTGGTTGAGACCGTGGAATGTGTCGACTGTCCTCCCATAGTCATAGGTGAGGTGTTATCAGTAGGAGTCAGTATGCTACTGGAAGATGGCGGTGAAGAAGTAGATTGAGTAATGGTTATGGTGATGGTGCCAGTGCTAGTGCTGATGCTGGTGCTGGTGCTGGTGCTGGTGCTGACCCCTTTAATTGGCCCGACGATTCCAAGCGTCATACTGGAAGTTGTAGTCTCTGGGGCGTGGGATGAGGATTCTTTGATGATTGCTGGCACGGCGCTGGAGGATAAGGCTGCGACTCTAGAGGACTGCAACGATCTAGAGGGTGTAGATGAGGGAGAGTGTGTGATAGTCTCCCCGATATGGGATGAAACTTTCGGGAGTACTTCTGTGCTTGAGTGCGAGACGGTGGAAGATGTCTCTGTGTGGGAGGACGAAGCTTTTGAACTCGCTGGCATAGCGCTGGAGGACCGGGTGGTGACATGAGAGGACTCTGCAAGTGTAGTCGAAGACGTGCCCGAGGCGTGTAATGATGATTTAGTAGGAGAAACTAGCACTGCACTTGAGGTAGATGAGCCCGGTACTGTAGAAGACTTGACGGGTGTAGTCTCGGGCATGGATGATGAGGCTTCGGTGGTGCTTCGAGACATCCCAGACATGGTGCTAGACGAAGGTGCAATTGCAGATGAAGATTCAGACCGAGTCGAATGAGTTGTAGAGGATGCTGGAACCACTGAGCTGGAGCTGTGGGCTTGAGGAAGTTTGGACGGTGTCACAGGAACCACCGTCAATGCGTCGACATCATCATCAGCATCGCCAGCATTCTCTTCGATAGAAGGACTGGCAACATGCACATGTGCAGTAGTAAGCGAAGGAGAGGGAGCGAGTTCAAGATCCCTAATCTTGGGAGCCAAAAGAGCGATCGGACCAGCCGTGCAGGTAAAGACAAGGAAATGAACCACGAGAATCACGTGGAGAACAGACATTGTGCGATTTGAATTATGGTAGAGCATCAAGTCTAGCAGTGAAAGAGAGGATGTAGGATTAATACCTGTCAAGCTGGACGGGCATAATTCGGCAAGTTCAGAGACAGTGAGTCATATTGATTGAACAATCCAGAAATAACGAAAGTATTAGCGAACGAAAAGAACAGGACGATAGGAAGAAGTAGAAAACGATGGAAAGAAAGATGATAGAGTGAATGAGGTCGCGGAGAAAAGGCTTTAAGAAGCGCCATGAAAGCCGAAGCATCTCTTTATTTAGCTGACCACGGCCTGGGCCGTATTGTCTGCAGCTTGACATGAAACCAAGCAGCAAGTGTTGGTGGGACACAAAGTGGAACAATTGGCTGTCGTGAGTCGAGTTGGCGCGCGACAAAGAACGGCCCAGGATTTGCAGCTCGATTGGCAACCCGCTCTTCTGCACACCCGTGAAGCAGAATGGAGCTGGCCCAGTCCTCCAATACATCCTGCTGTCGAAACGCCTCACGCAGAACTAAGCCGCCACCTTGGCCATGCTAGACATCACTGGAAGACTACGCAAACGATGCAATTTAAGATGCATATATTCCGTTCCTATAGCGCACACCCATCGGATGTCAACAGGCCACTTCAGCTGACAGCGACCGTAAACGCCTCACTGGTCCCCTCAAACGATGATATCGTGCCTAGCACATTCTTCGAATCGCCATAATAATGAAACCGATAGGTTCCGCCCTCCACAGGATTGGGGTTCCCAGTATTGTAATAGTCATCCTCAATCTGCCACTGGAGCGTCACCTCGCTGTACCCCAGGATGGTACTCGTCCTCTCCCAGTTATACAAAAGGTTCCAATCACTGTCGGTGCGCACTACCTCCCACGTTCCATTACTGGAGTCGTACTTTTCCACGGCCGCAAATGTGGATTCCAATCGCAGGTTGTTCCGAGGATTGGCCCCAACAAACGTGACATTCACGACATCACCGGGCCCGTAAGTGGTATTTGCCGCCGACAACACAACATCCCCAAAGGCTTTCCCCACCGGCGACCCATCATAGACCACCGACGGGATAAAACTGAGTGAATTGTCGGTGTTGATGGGAGGCGCCAGGCCGGTAGACAATGACGGTAAACTGGCTGTGTTGGGGGATTGCCCGAGGTACGGCAGATACGTAAGAGTCAGGTTGACATACGCCGCCAGTGTGCTGGGCCCATACAGAGTCGAAGCACCCTCGTAGCGCTGCACCCCGTATTCTTCCTCCGTGGCCACGTAGTGAGCATAGCTATTGGACGGGGCCCCCAGGACGACAAGGGGGTCAGAAACCGAAAGAACGTCCGTAGCAGACTGAGCAATGGCTTCTTTCCAACGCCGCCCAGACATCGTGGTAGCCTCGCTTGTGGAGATGATGATAAAAAGCTGACCCACTCGCAGGAGCTGAATGTCCACAATATTCGGTGCCCAAGCGTACGGCTGTGTGATTGGTCCGATGTCAAGAAGGATCTCTTTTGGCGCTTGACACGCCTGCTGGGCTTTCGACGGCTGATGAACGAACGCGCGAGCAACATACCACAGAGGGTTGGAATCCGCCGGCCCAGTGCCATTCTGGGTGAAGTCCATTACTCCCGGACCGTCGGTGGTGCCGGCGGCGAATGAGAATCCCAGCGCTGCCGAGCATGTCTGCAGGGTGCTGCCATTGAATGGTGATACAAAGGTGTAGTTGGACAGGTCTTGGTATACATGGAAAGAGCGGACGTCGGTGCTTGAAGAGATCCGAACAGGATTGGAATCCAGCTGGCTGTATAATTCTTTCGCAGCGGCATACTGCCGCCGTCCGATCTCGAAGCAGCTCTTGGCGCCATTATCCTTCTCGCGGAAGAAGGGCCCACGGCCATGGCAGTCTTCGGTCTTTCCGCCACATGTACTATCCGAGTATCGGCATTCCTGCCCAGAGCCATCCTCACACCAGGCTCCCAGGACATTAGGGCTGGTATCGCCGACATTCGACTGGGAAAACCCTGCCACAAAGCCATCTGCAAACTTTGAGTCGCCCTGGACACTTCTCTCGAACAGCCAGGCGGCGACTCCTTTATTGTCCCCAGTGACTAGGGTATTGTTTTCGTACATCGATGTGCCGTGGACCGGGAAGAAGGTCAGCACGGCCGTGGTTTTGTTGTCGGATTCTCGATCAAATCTCAGGAGGGTCAACGTCTTATCCACGTTTGCCGAGTATCGGGCTTTTTCTTCCGTCGGATTGGCATCATAGGCGTAGGGGCTTCGGTTGATATTGGCATCCTCGAGGTCGATCGACCCAAAGCTCAGACGCCCAGGTGCCAGACTCTCATGGGCTCGCTGGATAGAAAGTAGAACCCCATCGACAAGCGCCTGGTAGCTTTCTTTATCAAATCCCTTCGTCGGAATCTGGGGAAGAAGATAGTTCATCCAGGCTCCGGGACCGGAATGAGAGTGGGTTCCGGTAAGGGCAACATTCTGCTCGGTGTACCGAGCATAGTCGCCACCTAGGCTAGCAAGACCCGCGAGCACGCCATGTCGCACAGCAGTGTCACCCGTCAAGGCATCCATGATGAGATAGATAAAGGTATCATCCGGACTATTGGCATCGGCAACAATGAACGCACGAGAATAAATTCTCTGCCGAAGACCAGTCCCAATCTGTTCCAGGCTAGCATATCCATTCAGCCCTAGTTCGACAACCGGCCTGTAGAGGATTAGCAATATCCATTGCGGTCCTAGCGTGAGAGTTACCCCGTAATATCCGCCTTCCCTGCACCTAGCAAGAAGATACCATCATCATCATCATCCGCCGCCGTGGCAGCCGCTCGATGCACCCACTTAGGCTGTGCAGCGACTTTGAGTGGCTGGTAATGGTTCTGAAGCAAGGAGAACAGTTGCAGAAACACAAGTGCGGTTGCTAAGCTGCTGGCTAGAGCCACGCCAAGCCGAATACTAGGCATCCTGAGATAGTGATAGGCTCTGTCGTTAGAGCACAGGGAAGCTTCGGATGCCCAGGGGAATGCGAGTTCTTATTGCAAGAACCGACCGAGGCAGGAGCTATCACAAGACATGACCGGTTAATTTGGAAAACGTCTCCGGGGATGACACTGCAGGGTCCTGCAACCTTGAAAACGGAGGGCGGAAGAGGTGCGATTGGTGTGCAGACGACTGGAATGTAGCAGGAAGGGGCCGGCTGGTCCTGTTGTCCTCCGCGGCTAGACTCAATCAGGGGTGCCTCTTCGCCCCGCACAGTCTGACACTGTGAATCTGATGCTGGAGATGCGCTGAGATGAAGACTCGGGTGGTTGAGTCATCATGGTTGCTGTCAAGAAATGCAATAGGCGGGGAAGTGACCAGTCAGGGTGCAGCATAGGCTGTCACAAGGTGACAGGGAGTGTCGATCGCGTGGACAACGTCGTAGCCAAAAAATCTAGGTTAAATCACTATAAATTAAAGGATGAAAGGCCCGTCTTGCCTAAAGACGTGAGACAGGATGATCGCGTGCAAGATCGATGAAGAAGATGCCTCGGCGAGCTCTATACTTGGGCTGCCCGAAACGGCAAAGCCGACACCGGGCTTACAGCTCGGCGTGGTCTGAAATAAACTCCGCGTGGTCTAACGCTAAATACGGAACAACTCTTTTCCATCTTAACCATGATGAGATCTTTATTTTTCATAAAAATTACATATTTTTAGTATACTGAAAATATGCACATTTTAATCCTAAGCTTAGAGTGTTCAAAAAAAAAGACCCCTTAATAAAATATCTTAATAAATACCCTAAATACCCTAAAATCCCTAAATACCCTAAAAAAGTTCTGATATAGCTTATTATAGGCTCATCGTGGTCTAAAACTAAGATTCTTAACCATGATGAGCTTTTGCCAAGAACAGGTTCGGCGTGGTCTGAAATAGGCGGTAAGATAACCAGCAGAATGTTAGACCACGCTCACCTTTTTTCAGACCACGATGAGCTGCGACCCGGCCGACACCTGACCGATCACGGCAGAAATTGCTGAGTCAGCATGTTGCTCACCGCCCTGTAATTATCCGGGCAAAAGCTGATGGCATCAAGCGCGGTCGTAGGATTCACCAGATTGACCGCAGCAGATTCTCTATCTATCTCAGACGCAGGTCTCTGTCAATATGCCTCTCATCAACGAATCCCACGATTCGCTCCCTTGTAAGCAATCTTACCTGCATGAAGATCTCCTTCTAACGCAAACAGACATCGAACCGGAGCCTTCCACCCAGGCGCGAGCAGCTGCGGAACAGCTAATCGCTGCGGAACTCTCGTTGGAGTCTCGGACAACCATTCACCCGTCAATCCCGGCGTTCCCTGGGCTGCGCTTCTCCCCCCTTATTCAGCAGGAGATTGACCGCAAGGCCGCCGGATCGCCCTGGGTTGGCGGAATCGACCTCTCCCGCTATGAAGCCCCCGAGGCGCCTGCTAAATCTGCGGACGGAACGCCCAACCTTGAAGAATGGAAGCGAACTTTGCAAAAGGCTTACACGGCTAGCTCCCACCTGTCGATGAGGCACGAGAATCTGGCACTGCTGGAGGAGAACGGAAAGAATGCTTGGCTGATTGGCAACGCTCAGCTGGAAGACATACTACGGGGACTGGAGAAGGAGTTGGCCGAGGTGAAGGAGGCTGCGGAGTCGGTAAACAAGGAGAGAAAGCTCGCCCAGGAAGCCAACAAGGGGGAGATTGCGGGGTTGGAGGAGACCTGGAGACGAGGAGTTGGAGCCATTCTCGATGTGGAATTGGCTGCAGAAGGCCTGCGGATGCAAATCCTAGAGCAGAGGCGCCAACTGGCGCAGCAACATGCGCAATAAGGCACCCGACCTATTGCTGGGATGATACTCTGCCAGGGTATACGTCGACTCTGACCGGGTGAAGGGAGGCCGCCTGAAGCTAGTCTTGAGACATAGAAGCAGTTCTGCGGTGTCATTGGGCTGGCCTAATTGAATACGACAAAAGAAGCTGCATTCGTCTCATCCGACGAGGCCAAAAATAACGGGATCATCATTGGCGTTGGAACCGGACGGTGGCGATGCCGGCAGGCGGGGAAGCTCAGCGCTGCCATTCCCCGCACCACCGCAGGTCGAGACCTTGGAACTCGTCACCACTGCGACAGCTCAGACTTTGACAAGACGGCTCCGCATAATAAAAGCAATTAATGTCTGGGATGACTGTACGAAGGAGCAATTTTTCCGTCCGTGGCAACCCGGCCAATCCGCATTGGGGATGCGTTCGGCATGTTGCTGGGTTCTCTTTGTATCCCAGCTGCCGCGAGGCCAACCATTGGATGATGCCTGCGAGCTCCCAGCTGACCGTACATTGGCAGCCAGATTGTTGTCGCTGTCTTGGAACTCATCTGGACTGCTCGATAGAATTCGCTTCATGATTTGCTGTGAATCTGAGTTGCCTGTTTGAAGCTAGTTATCATCCACGGCAGCGAAAACGGCGGTCCGTTACAGGCTCCCGCATATCTTGTGTACTTAGATTAATCTAGATTTATACTATCTATCTCTGACAACGCACTGCATGCACGATGCATCACCCCCTCTCGGCGTGCGGGGAATATGCAGCAGCGCATGTACTTTTGTACTTCAACACCAAGAAGAGCACGGTTGCATGTACCAGGGCCATCCGACTTCTTTGTCCCTTGTATGACCTCGATGGCCAATGCCTGGTCCGCATCCTTGCCAGCTCGTATGCGAGAGGGGGCGTACATAAACGGTGCGGGGTGTCTCCCTCCCCGGTTACCTGGTGAGGAGACGCTTGGTGGTGCTGGGTGGGATATAAAAACCCCTTCATCTGGCTCAATGCTTGGATACGCAAGAATCACATCTCTTTCTTTCACACTCTATAAGTATCACCATCACCATGACCATCCCAGATGAAGTAGACATTATCGTCTGCGGTGGCGGAAGCACCGGCTGCGTCATTGCCGGTCGTCTCGCCAATTTGGACCGTAATCTCCAGGTGCTGCTGATTGAAGCAGGCGAAGACAACCTGAACAACCCATGGTAGGTTACATATCCTCTACATCTGGACCATCTAACCCATGTCAGGGTCTATCGTCCGGGCATCTACCCCCGGAACATGAAGCTGGACTCCAAGACTGCTTCTTTCTACTACTCCCGGCCCTCGGAATGGCTGGATGGCCGTCGAGCGATTGTGCCTTGTGCTCATGTCCTTGGAGGTGGCAGCTCCATCAACTTCATGGTAGGTTCCTACCCATGTCCAAGACTAGGTCTAACCAGATCAGATGTACACTCGGGCCTCTGCCTCCGACTATGATGACTTCCAGGCCAAGGGCTGGACAACTGATGAGCTGCTGCCCTTGATGAAGAAACACGAGACGTACCAGCGAGCCTGCAATAACCGGGATGTCCATGGCTTCGAGGGGCCTATCAAGGTCTCGTTCGGAAACTACACGTATCCCATCACGCAGGACTTTTTGCGTGCTGCCGAGTCGCAGGATATTCCTGTCACCGATGACCTGCAGGATTTGAAGACTGGGTGAGTATATATAGCAAGCCACACCTCATCATCTGCTAACTGGTGCAGCCATGGAGCCGAGCACTGGCTGAAATGGATCAACCGCGATACTGGTATGACCTTACCTCCTCATGGGTAGACCCACTAACAGGCATAGGCCGCCGCAGTGACTCGGCCCATGCCTATGTCCACAGCACCCGGGCCAAGTACTCCAACCTGCACCTCAAGTGCAACACCAAGGTCGACAAGGTGATCCTCGAGAACGGCCGCGCCGTTGGGGTCGCCACGGTTCCCACCAAGCCTCTTGCCGGCCGCGATCCCCCGCGGACGGTCTTTAGGGCCCGCAAGCAAATCATCATCAGCGGCGGTACTCTCAGCTCCCCTCTCATCCTGCAGCGCTCGGGCGTTGGCGACCCCGAGAAGCTTCGTCGCGCCGGCGTCCAGCCCCTGGTAAACCTTCCAGGGGTTGGCCGGAACTTTCAAGACCACTACCTGACGTTCTCCGTCTACCGGGCCAAGCCCGACGTCGAGTCCTTCGATGACTTTGTCCGCGGAGACCCCGAAGTGCAGAAGAAAGTGTTCGAGGAATGGAACATCAAAGGCACGGGGCCTCTAGCGACGAACGGCATCGACGCGGGGGTGAAGATCCGCCCGGATGCAAAGGAGCTGGAGGAGATGAAGAGCTGGCCGACGAACGACTTTTACAAGGGCTGGGAGAGTTACTTTAAGAACAAGCCAGATAAGCCCGTGATGCATTACTCGGTGATTGCGGGGTGAGAGCCCTATCCCCCTAAACCCTGTAACATTCACATCTAACCATGAACCCTCGCAGCTGGTTCGGCGACCACATGCTCATGCCCCCAGGCAAATTCTTCACCATGTTCCACTTCCTCGTATGTCCCCATCCATCCATCCATCCATCCCTATATCCCCACTAAATAAGAACAGGAATACCCCTTCTCCCGCGGCTTCACGCACATCCAATCCGCCGACCCCTACGAAAGCCCCGACTTCGACGCCGGCTTCATGAACGACAAACGCGACATGGCCCCGATGGTCTGGGGATACATCAAATCGCGCGAAACCGCCCGGCGCATGAACGCCTACGCGGGGGAAGTCACCGGCATGCATCCGCACTTTTCGTTCGATTCGCCTGCCCGTGCGTTTGATCTGGATCTCGCGACCACGAAGGCGTATGCGGGACCGAATCATATTTCGGCGGGGATTCAGCATGGTACAAATACCCTACTCTTACCCTTTGTCCCTTTTGCTATGGTGAAGGGGGTGATGTACTGACGATGTATAGGATCCTGGTCCCAACCCCTCGAACCCGGCACCGCGCCGACCTCCCCGACCATGCTCAACTCCAATCAACAGGAGACTCGGGAGTCGTTGCAGTATACTAAGAAGGATATTGAACATATTGAGAAGTGGGGTACGTATCCCTATACCTATACCCCAATCCCTCCCACTTACCCAACCAACCCTACCCCCCACCTTTCTCCCCACTATCACCCATCAGAATACTAAGAAAAGACAGTCCAACGCCACGTCGAAACAACCTGGCACTCCCTCGGAACATGCAGCATGGCGCCCCGCGAAGGCAACACTCTCACCCCGCACGGCGGCGTCGTCGATGAACGACTGAACGTGCACGGCGTGACGGGATTAAAGGTGGCGGATTTGTCCATTTGTCCGGATAATGTGGGGTGTAATACTTACAGTGTACGTCCCCATACCACTTTTTCTTTTGTTGGTTGGTTTGCTTTGTGGGAAGGTTCATGAGTGGGATGTGCTAATGGTCTGGGATAGACGGCTCTCCTCATCGGGGAGAAATGTGCGGTGTTGACGGCCGAGGATCTGGGGTATTCGGGGAAGGCATTGGAGATGAAGGTGCCGGAATATCATGCGCCGGGGGAGGTGACGTATTTGTCGAGGTTGTAACTTCTGCTCAGTAGTTGGGGGGAAGGGAGGGGAGAGGGGGGGGGAGAAGATCTAGTATGCCTTATAGGTTGAGTAGTGAGTTGAATACTATGATTGATAAGTTTTGTTGTGCGATATAATACATAATATCATACTCCGTAGAAATAAGAGTACACGCATCGAACTGAATAGTAGTATTTACAGTGAGCAAGAACTAGGCCTTCTCCCTCGCCACCACCACCATCCCATCCACCACTCCCTTCTCCTCCACCACCCCCTTGGCATCAGCTCGCCCATTCCACGCCTCCACATCCTTACACATCCCATACAACGTCGTAATCGGCGGCTGATACCCCAACCCACCCTGTTCCGGCGCCAACCGAGCCCTCCGATCATCCGCCACAAAATGCACACAGATGATACCGAACAATCCCGGCTGCAACTTGGCCAGATTGCCCGTGATCCGAGGCAGCCAGGAACAATATACATACTGCAGCAGGGCGTACCATTCGATGAGGTAGGACAGGAGCAGGAATGGGATGGCGGGGGCAGGGGGGAAGTTGGTGGGGGTTTTGGATAAGGTGTGGAGTAGGAGGTAGATGTCTTGGTAGGTGAGGGGTGGGTTGGGGTCGGTGATCAGGAAGGCTTGGCCGCCGATGTCTGGGAGGGGGGATTGAGAGGATGGGGAGGGGGAGGTATTGGAGAGGTTGATGAGACAGCGTTCGTAGGCGAGATGAGCGATGGAGACGTTTTCCGCGCTGACGAAATTGTGGACGATGTTGGGGAGCCAGCTTGGACTGCCCCCGTTGCGGAGATATGAGCCGGTGAGAGAGCCGTCGGTGTCGCCGATGCCGTAGATGCCGTTGGCGGGGCGGATGCAGCCGGTGCGGAAGTTGGTGGTGGGATCGTCGGCGGCGCGGACGATGCGTTCGGCTTCGGCTTTGGTGACGGCGTAGTTGCTGAAGAAGTCGGCGTGGGCTTGGGGGAGCGGGGAGGTCTCGGTGACGACTTGGACGAAGTTCTTGGGGGTTTTGTGCCAGGGCGCGACCCAGAAGGAAGGGCTGTGGATGCAGATGGAGCCGGAGGAGGTCGAGATGAAGCAGCTGGCGCCGGATTGCTTTGCGGCGTGGAGGACATGCACGGTGCCGGTGACGTTGACGTTGCGGCAGAGGGGGAGGAAGGCTTGGTGACGCTCTCCGGGGCGGATCACGGCGGCGTTGTGGAAGACGGTCAGGGGGTGATGGGCGACGGTTTCAGGCCAGGGTTGGACAAAGGCGTCGATGGTGGCCTGCTCGTCGGTGATGTTGGTTTGGACGAAGGTCACGCCCTGGTCGAGGAGGTCGCGAGGAGGGACTGCGAGGTCCAGGATGCGAATGGCGGAGGGGTCTTCGCCGCGCATGAGCAGATGTCTCGCCATCCAACTTCCCACGAGGCCTAATTGATTAGCTCTGACTTCGAAAGGCGTGTTGGAGCGTACCTGAGCCGCCAACTACGATATACCGCCGATTCTGCTTCGGGGGGAGGCTTTTCCGCACATCGATGGGGTTTCGAATGGCTTCTTCGTACGCGGCTTTGATTTCCTCGGGGGTCCAACGATGAGGAGTTATGCGAAGGACTTCATCTGGGATGCTCTTCATACCACGATTCACGTGGTAGAGGTAGAGGAGAGCCAGTCCGGAGACTGCTGCGATTTCTGGAAACATGGAAGCTGATTCTTTCCCTAGCTAAGGGCAGCCGCCGTACGATGCTGTCGAAGATGAGAATGATGAGATGCCAGGAGATTGAATGACAAGGCTGTTGCGGACATTAAATGAATATTAATAGATCAGCCTGGATGGGTCCAGCCGAAGCGAACGGCCCCAATTTGCCCGATCGCTTCTTCGGTTAGATTGGAGGCCCACTTGGCATTGCCAAAACAGCCTGAATGGCCAGAGAACATCCCCCATGGGACTGTCATTCTAACGGGCCACTCCATTATATATTGGGGTGCGTTAGCTTGGGTCACATCACGATCCGTTGCAGGTGCCATCCACGTGCCGCGCACAAAAGCAAGCAGAAATGGCCGATTGGTTCTGCTAGTTTCACAGAGATGCAAGACCGTCCTGATTCTGACCATAGTCAAATTAGACGACATCAGACGGAAAGTGTCCCAGGATCGAAGCCAAAAGAATGAAGGATCATTGGTCAATGAGGGAGTCAGTTTTCTGCCAGGGGATCCTGGACAGAGTAGGGGCGAAGACAAACCCGTACATGGGCACGCGACCATCAATACACCGACATCAATGTGCTATGCACGAACTAATTCGCGCAAGGCAGACAATCCCATCAAAGTAGGTAGGTCTGTGTCCTTATAACTATTATCATGGCAGTGTCCCTGACAGCCTCTGTGCTTCCGAGGTGGGTCATGCCTATCTCCGGTTCCGAGCTCACGATATGGTCCGAGATACGAGGGTGCACCAAGCGACGATGATAATCTCGCTATCCGTCTAATCAATAGGCAGCAGCCTGGATCGCTCAGTCCTTCAGTCTCTGCATTCTGGCTCTTCCTTTGGCCACGCTTGCTCTAATGTGATACCTAGGATGTTACGTTGATGCAGCGAGTATTTTTCATCCAATCAATCGTATGTCTCAGGTTTGGTTTGATGATCCTATCTCTTATCAGTACTAGCAACATCAGAAATTCTCAGAAGCAGGCTTGGCACTTTGGATCCATCTCCACGCAAAACACCCCAAAATCCCCATGACGAGGTGGTGACCTATCAGCTTTGCATGGTGTGACCAAGAATCAGCATGGGTACCTAAAAGCGCAACAAATGCCAGAATTGAGAAAAGCAAAAAATGGGCCACGTTCTGGACGCAAAACAAAGTTCAATCGGCAAACCGGCACGGGCGGCACTCGGAACCGAGCCTGGCGCGCTGACTGGCCGCGGTGGTTCCCCGCCCTATGTTTGACATGGGGTATGATTCATGTCAATCTTCGATTCCTAAGAAGTAGGGGGTAGCAAAATTTCTCCTCTTTGAGTGGATCCGGTTGCATTCAGAATCAACTAAATTCCAACGTTGACGTATCACTCTTTGCAACTTCCGTTTTCACCAATGGCGGTGGGGTGCTGATTCATGCGGTGGTGACGTCCAGGACTACTCCAATTCTCCATCTGGAGTAATCGAGGGTCCTGGGGATGTGACGGGATGCAGATGCAGAGAAACCTGACTTGTTGTTCATCAACTCCACTGCAGATCACCAGCAGCTGATGAGTATCAACTCAAGGTACGGGACTCGTATGCTATAGCCGAAGTGGACCGTTCCTCCTTGAGCTGGTCCGTGCTGGGAAGAACCTTGTGCCAGGCTGCCCGTGTGGTGACCAGTAACAATCTCCATCGCTATAGGAATGGCCAGACTGACCATGGATGGCCGTCCTAAATCGGGTCTTATCCAGATCGCGAATTAGGGCATCACCGCAACCCTGCATGGCATCAGACTCGGCAACGCAACCTAGAAGACGCAGATGACGGTGATCGAACACCTGCGGGGATGTATCAATTCGCATTTCATAAAGCCATAGCACCTGTCCTGCTTGGCAGTCGAGTGCAGGGCTTATCAAGGCGCGCATCCCGACAGCCCTCATCGGTCCCACCCCGATGTCACTGACTCACCAATTTGGTTCCCATTAATAACGGGCGGTCTCACAATTCCATTGCCGCTAGGCTTGATATCGGAAACCCAACGTCAATCAATTCTAACTTCCCAAGCCCGACCCGTTTCCTGCCAGTGTTTGACTTGGCGATCTTTTTCTACTTCTGCCGCGCCGCTGCTCGATTTTGAACAAGTTTTGCTGTTTTCCTTGGGGTACTCGCTTCGATCTCTTCCCTGGAATTGTTCTTGTGGTTCTCTTGTCCATAGCGCTGTGCTGCGATTGAATTACAAATGCTGGATTAACAGTTGGGTGTTCTATTGTAGCGGAACTCCCAACACGCCCAACGCCCTCTACCTTAACACCCGGATTACTGCTTCATCTTCAGCAATTACTAGATTGGGTTTGACTATTGAATCGGTTGGACCTCGATCTCCGATCACGGACCAACTCTTATTTAACGCCACCAAAGCATGTCTGCCCCCGAGATTGCCCAACAGGGCAAGGAGGAATCCGCGGCCACCTACACCCAGTCGTACGCAGCCTCGCGCTCATCCGAAGACACCATCGATCAAGTGGACGCTCTAGGGCGCATTGCGACGCGGGCCTCGCGCGAGCCAGAGTCCTTGACCAGAAGAGTGACCTCGATCGGGACGACTGGCACCTCGGATCCAAACTATGAGGTCGACTGGGACGATGGATTCGACAAAAACAACCCGAAAAACTGGTCCTTTGCCTACAAAGCCATAGGCATCGCCATTCTCTCCTACAACACCTTGATCATGTGAGTCTAGCATTGCTTGAAATCGCAACCCGACACCAGACTGACCATGTCCAAGCGTACTGTATTCGACCTCGTATACTTCAGGAGAATCACAGATTGCGGCGGAATTCGGAACCTCCAACACCGTCGTCACGTTGGGCTTGACTCTGTATCTCATCGGCCTGGCGATAGGGTCCATGTTCATGGCCCCATTGAGCGAACTGTACGGCCGCAAGCCGGTTTCCGTCCTCTGTTTGCTCATCTTTACCGTCCTCATTATTCCCTGTGCACTTAGCAAGAACCTCGCCACGTTGCTGGTCGTCCGGTTCATTGCTGCTTTGTTCGGAAGCGTCATGATCTCCACCGCGCCGGGGATGGTTGCGGATATTGTTGAGGATGATCAGCGGGCGCTCGCCATATCGATTTGGAGTATTGGTCCCATCAATGGCCCAGGTATGCAGATGATTCCGCGTGTGGAGATGATGTCGGTGGCTAACCTGCCTAGTCATTGGACCCATCATTGGTGGCTTCGTGACACAGTATCTGGGCTGGCGCTGGATGGACTGGATTGCCTTGATTCTGTCCGGCGTCGCGTTGGTCTTGTCGTGTGTCCTGGAGGAGACCTATGGTCCTATCATTCTGCAGCAGAAAGCCGCCCGCATGCGCAAAGAAACAGGCGATTCGCGCTGGTGGTGTCGATACGAACAAAAGGCCAGTCTGGGTGAACTGCTGAAAGTCAACCTGGGGCGCCCATTTGTCATGGCAGTCACCGAGCCGATCTGGTCAGTCGACGCCTCGTGTCGTTCACAACCCAACTTGTCGTTCTCAACCTAACATATATGGTATCTAGTATTTTCTGGAACATCTACATCGCCATCGTCTATGGAATCCTCTATCTCTGCTTCACAGCCTACCCCATCGTCTTCCGGGAGATTCGCGGATGGTCGCTTGGCCTCTCTGGCCTTGCATTCCTGGGCATCGGAACCGGCTGTTTGATCACCATCTCCAGCGAACCCTTGATCCGCCGTTTGATCAACGCCCACAAACCCGACCCGGAAACAGGCAAGCCGCCCCCGGAGGCCATGGTGGCGTTCGTGTGCATCTGCGCGCTTCTCATCCCCGCCGGAGAGCTGTGGTTCGCCTGGACGTGTTCCCCGGCCTCGATTCCCTGGATTGTCCCGATTCTCGCGGGGGTGCTCTTCGGCACCGGCAACACGGGCGTCTTCATCTACGCGACCAACTACCTCGCTGGGAGCTACGGGGTGTACGCCGCCTCCGCGCTGGCTGGGAATTCCGTGATCCGCAGTATCCTGGGTGGTGTGTTGCCGCTCGTGGGCACGTACATGTACGCAGGCATTGGTCCCAATTGGTCTGGCACGCTCCTGGGCTTGCTCGAGGTGGCCATCGTTCCGATCCCGTTCGTCTTTTACAAGTATGGGTATAAGATTCGGGAAAAGAGTGTGCTTATTCGACGAATGCAGGAGGATAAGCGGCGACTTGCTGGCAAGCGCCAGCGACAGACCCAGCAGGTGGAGGTGACGGCCCAGGGGGAGAAGACCACGGTGGAGGTCTGAAGACAACCACCACGTACACAGCGCCATCTCGCATTTAATGATGGGGTTGAAAAGCGATTCCTTGCACAGCGGGAGTTGGGTAGCGTGCCTTGTTGCCATGGATATGTAATGATCTGCATCTATGCACGACTGGTAATGTCATTCGTAATGGTTAATATTTGGTGCATCATACATAGCCATAATGAAAAGTGAAATTCAATCAACTTGAGTGCAAAACAGAAAGACCCCTGAACCCATCAGTCTGGCCTCCGTACTCTCCTCTCCACCCCCAACGCATCCTGCAGAATGCGCTCATACTCTCCCAACGCCACCGCACCCGCAGGAAAAACCATCACGGCCTCCACATACACCGGGGATGATCCCAAGCTCGCATCGCCCCTCCTTACATACCCGAGCACATTGACCCACGCGCCCACGCGCAGCTCCTCCGACGTGACTGTCTCCAGCACGGCGTTGATATCGACCGACACTGACGGTGGTTCCTGGGGTGGTTTCTGCCGGGGATAATTGTGTTCCAGGATGAGGTGGCCCGTTGGGATGTTGTATCTCCTTACACTGAGATAATCAGTCTTACTTGTACCTTTTTTTTTTCCTTTTGAGGCCCACAACTAAGCGCATCCCCGGATGGACATCTACTGTATACAATGCACGCGATAAGATGGACTCCACGCACCAACCGAGAAAGCGGACTTTCGATTCCAACGGCAGACCAGGCAGATCGGAGAGAAATGCCCGGGTGGAGGGAAGGGGCCCGTTCATGCCGGGATCAATCGTTGATGATGCTGGATGGGATGCAGGAATGAACCGAACAATACATGACGGGTACCCCACGTGACCCCGCCTCTCCGATAGGCTTAGCGCGTATGTCATAGGGCCAACGAGGGGAAACCCACCGAGAAGCCTCAATCCTCCATCATCTCTCTATCTCTCTCGCTCTCGTTCTCGCCGTCTTATCACGCGCTCTTATCAGGGACCGCTCCCTCCTGGACCTGGTCTACGTGACTCGGCTGCCCGCCCGCTTTCTCCCCTGGAATCTCGTCCAACCATCCCTCACCGATCCCGTCCCGTCGCCACGATCCCATCCCACCTTGACCGATCCAGCACCGTTGTTGCAACCCTCGACCAACCAAACCCCCAAGACCTGTCGAACTTCAACCGCTACCCTTAGCATACCCGCTCCACTGCACTGACACCCCCCATCACATCCTTTACCGCTCATACACCCTTATCAACATGTGGTCTTGGTTCGGCGGATCCGCCGCTCAGAAGCGGAAAGATGCGCCCAAGGAAGCGATCCTCATGCTCCGCGAGCAGCTGGACATGCTCCAGAAACGCGAGAAGCATCTAGAGAACCTAATGGAGGAGCAGGATACAATTGCTCGAAAGAATGTGACGACAAACAAGGCCGGTAGGTGATGATGCCACGGAAGCGGCGCTAGGCAGCCATCAGACTCACACGGGATTTTTGTCTAGCGGCCAAGAACGCCCTTCGTCGGAAGAAGGTCCATGAGAAGAACCTGGAACAGACGACGGCGCAGATCGTCCAGCTCGAACAACAGATCTACTCGATTGAGGCGGCGAATATCAACCAGGAGACGTTGAAGGCGATGGAGGCTGCGGGTGCGGCGATGGCGAAGATTCATGGCTCGATGACGATCGATAAGGTTGATGAGACGATGTATGTTCTGTTTCTGATCCTGCGGGGTGGAAGGACGGTACTGACCCCAGTAGGGACACACTGCGCGAACAGCACCAACTCAGCACGGAAATCGCACAAGCCATCACAAGCACCTCCCTGGTCGATCAACCCGACGAAGACGAGCTGCAGGACGAGCTGGAGGGTCTGGAACAGGAGGCCATGGACGAGCGCATGCTCAACACCGGCACCGTGCCAGTTGCCGACCAACTCAACCGCTTACCTCCTGCGGCGAACGGAGAAAGTAAGCTCCCACCTATCTTTTTGAGAATCTTTCACTCTAACCCGAAGACAGTCAAATCCAAACCCCAAACCGAAGAAGAAGACGAGGAAGCAGAGTTGGAGAAGCTACGTGCAGAGATGGCCATGGGATGATCGGCCGCCATGTCACCATACATCAGATCCGGGGGTTTTTTTTTTTTTTTTCTACCATATGTGCTAAAGAACATGTGTTGTTGTCTTTTTCTCCCAATCGTCTTGTTGCGTTTTGCGCCTTGGAGTTAGTTTTTTTGCATGATGGAATGAATCATTACTATTAGGTCCTTGATCTAGTAGATCTCGTCTACCTCCATACAGACAGACCTGTTTCAGTCTGACACTTGTCTTACCAACATGTCTATCCACACCCCCTCCCTCAAATACCATACCTAAGAATGATACATATACATAACACATAACTTATACCACCTCAGTAACCACAACCACAACCACCACTATCTCTATCTCTATCTCCATCCTCATACCTAATCCCACCCATCCATCTATCTACCCATCACCTAGTACTACCTACCGACCCACCAGGCATCATCATTATCCCCAAGAGGAGGAAGATATTCCATTCTACCTAGTGAATGAAATCAGCAGGGAGCCTAGTAGGTCCCTACTTCCCTCTGTAGAAATAGGCTGATCTAGTCTAGTCTAGATTAGTCTACTTAGTTGCGAAAGATGTCGATTTGTATATAAACGAGGGGTATTGTTATCTAGGGTTTAGGTTGGTTAGGTGACGGGTGCTGGGGTGGGTTGTGTTGTGTTGTGTTGTGTAGATATTAGTGTGTCATGTGTATGATTGTCAAGTTCTGTGGGTGTGTTGTTGGGAATTCCGCGGATAGGATGGTTCTAGGGATGATGACGGGTGGTATTTTGGGTATTCATTGATTGATTGATGAAGTTAAGAATAAATAGATGAAGATGAAGGATGGATGGTGATGATTCCCATTTCATCCTCATCTCATCACAAGGATAGAATAAAAATGATATATCAGTGTGAAAAGAAAAAGGAATGATAGTGAGGTTTTATATGGAATTTAAGAATAAGGGTTAAGAGAAAAGGAGAAGATATGAAAGAAATGAAGCAATACACCACATTGAAAGCTCAAACTCCCTTTTTTCCATCCGGAATGAACCCGCCCATGTGTGTGCCGAATCAAATAGCCAGTGATTTAGTTATACGTAAGCCCAAAAAGCAGTCGTTGTAAGTTGGCATGTCGGGGGAGACCCTTGCTCGGTTCCTACAATCGCTGGAAGGAATAAAAGCATCCACTTATGGAAACCAGGCATAGCTTTTGAGCGGAGTCGCTCGAGCCCCGTCGCTCGCTTCACGGCTCCACTTGGATTTCCATTCCCATTCGTGCGCTGCAGCCTCGATGAGCGCTTCCTTGCACTCCGGGGGCAGCTCCTCCAGGATTTCGGGGGTTGCAAATTCCGGATTCGTCGAGTCGGCGACACTGATCAGTCCGTTGGAGCCGAGGTCATGCACGTCGCCGTCTGGGCCAGGAATGCCCAGGTTGGAATACGGTGATGATTCGTAGTGGATGTCATGGATGGCGAATCGGCGGGAGAGCGCGGCGGGGACCGTAGAGAATATAGATGCGTCGGTGGTGTCCTGTTCGGTTGGGCCGTCGCCGGCCTCGTTGGCCTCGTTGGCTTCGCTGCTGACAGCAGCTGGCTCTTCTTCGTCAGTGCCATTCGTGAGACTTAACGTTGACAGTCCCTTGGCCAATTTGGTCGCGACTCGCGGGTCTGGGGGAGGCAGACGCTCCCAGCGAGCGTGCGTAGGCTGCATGATCTTGGGGTATTGCACCACATTGGTGTGGATATCGTACTGTCCCTCGAGGTTTTCGCGGCGCGCAAGTGAGATGAGTGAGTTAAAGTTGCTGCCATCATGTAAGCATCCGTTCGGTCGCATGAGCTGTGATCACATACCTTGCCTCGCGGGCGTGCTCGAGCATCCAGTTATCGCCAGTCACTGTAACCTTGCGCTTCTTCGAATCCACCGCCTTACCGGTGGGCAAGGGAACAGACGGCGCGCTGGTGTGATAAACGCTACTGGCACCGTGCCAGGCGACGTACTGGTTCTTATTGTAAGGCTCGCCGGGCGGAGGGAGCTTATCCTCGGGGACGGCAGTCTCGCCCTCGACATCGCCACGCTCCCTCGCAGCCTGCACATTGTAATCGTCTACCACCTTCTTTCCTCCAACAATGATCTTTGCGCCGAACTCCCGGAAAACAGACCGCGCGGTGACGACACCAATAGCTCGTCCCTTGTAGGAGTGCGGGATGATTTCCCGTTCAATCAGGTCGCGTTTGGCCTCGTCGTCGATGATAATTTTGTAGAGAAGTTTGTGTTTCTGAAAGAACAGGTACGAGTCCCTAAACCCGATGCAACGCGCGGGCTCCGTGGACAACATGTATTTGCGATCACCACGATTGAGGATCGTGAACACACGGACCCGATACTCGCGATCTCCTTGCAGGTTTCCGTTCTTGTCGACCTTGGTCTCGCCCTCAGGGTCGCCCGGAAGGGCCACTTCGTCGTCAATGACATCCATCATGTTTCCCTCCTTATCGATTGGCACCTGAGTAACATGTGACGGCCCCCGGTTGCGCGCCCACCGTCCACCACTCGCAGCAGGACGACCACGCCTGCGCTTGACCGGCGTGGTCACATGCAACGGTGTCTGCGCGCCTCCCTCGTCAGGCGCATCCCAGTCTGGCGGACGGTTCTTCGGGGGACGGCCGATGCGACGCTTTCGCGGAATAGCTGACATGCGGCCACCTGTACGGGTAGGAGAATCGCCGCGCGATGGTGTGTTTGAATCCTGGGCGGGCGTGGCTGCCATCTCGTCGTCCAGGCTGGGCTCTGGCTGGGGGTCCACCTCAAGATCTTTATCCGATGCATCTCCGGGATCTTCCATGGGTGGGGAAGATCCACGCGACGGGGGTGCTTCGATCATCTCTTCGTCAGAGGCCTCGGGGAGCGGAGGGGCGGCATTCCCTACGGGGTAATTAGTTGTTCGCGTCCGTGACGAAACCGCGGCGGCAGCCAACGACAGGAAGGGAAGACCAGCAGAACCACCTACTCATGGATTGTGCAGCTGCCTGGGCAGCCGCTCGAAGTTTCCGAGCCATACGTATAGTGAATGCGTATGATCAAGGCCAACAACGCCAACTACAGTATCCTGTCCAGACGATGTTGGATGAGGCCCTTGGACGGCCTTTCCGCACCCATCGCGCTAGAGCCGTCCGGAATAATGGTCATTCCGAGCCGCCGAGTATGTCACGTGCCAGGGAACCTCCCTATATGCCTGAGGCAAATAAAGTTGAGCCGGCCACGTGCCGAACCAATAACGGAGCGCCCCTCGACCCGGTTGGGGTCGCTGCAGCATGATGTCATGGTCCCTTTTCCTCCGCTGATCGCCGACGGTTCGTTCGCAGTGGTTTGGTGATCTCGACGAAAGTTGAGTTTCCCGTTGACATCTCGGCTTCCCTGTGAACATGGTCTCTGCAGTATGCGGGATTTCCCTCCGAGAGTCATTTTGGGCTTTGGCTTTGGCTACACAGTACGTCCACGGTCTAGACAGGTCCGGGAGCCTTGCATGCTGGCCGAAGCTGACCTGAGCTATTGCCAATACGGTCCAAAAGCTAGATAGCAGATGAATCATTCGCAGCGATAAGGTATGCACAGACCGGACCACTGACGTATGTAGGTATCAGCTATAAGCCTATAACCTGTTCAGCCCCGACTTCACATGCCGCAGAAGAGGCGGTGGGCGCTGGATTTCTGGAACCCCTCCAACCCCACCACCATCGATAGCGACAGAGGAGGACTGCTGTGCTCCGCATTCCTCAACAGGGACCACCTTATGCACCCTGAAGGAGGGGAGGGCCCCATCACGCAATGATCTGAACGTGCTGGAGCTGCTAGGCATCGCGGTACGGTTCCCTCCGTCGTATCGTGGGCAGGGCGTGGGCCCGTGGATGTTTTCGGAGCTTCGGTGGTGATCAGATGCTGCGTGCCGCAGATCGCTTACACAACCTCGCAGCAGCCTGCAGGTGACCTACCTACTGACTGCGTCCAAGTAGCCTCAGATGCAGCGACGGTCTCCCTGGCCGACCAGGGTATCGAGGTTTCTATTGGCGGATCGTGGAGACGCGAGACGAAAGACAAGGGGTCTCCACCAAGTGGTTCCTTAGGATATCTTTTCCTACGATTTCTGATAGGCATTCAATTTTTCTATTGGGGCGGTTGCAATAATAGTGCTACCGGTCTCATCTCAATCGGGATCTGTTATCTGCATGATGAAACTCTGTGGGAGTTACTCCTTCGCACCGGTGGACATTCTTCATAATCCCCTTATCCTAGCCGGCTATGGCCGGCTGATTTTACCGTCGAACCAGGCCATTCTGAAACATAATCAATCCTACCTAAGCGGCGACCGCGATGACTGGGGGCTGGCAGCTGCACTGACATGGTGTAACACCATGGCGGAGACTTATGCCCTCCCAACGGTACAGCTGCCCTGAGCTTGTGATGCGCGAACGTAAGGAGATGATTAGCCCAGGAATCCCGCTAGCCTTTGGGGGGGATCCTGTTCTCGACACCTTACAGGCTTGCACAGTAGTAGAAGTATAGTTGGTGAGTGTTAATTCAGGGCTGACGATGATCTGACTAAGCCAGGCAGAAATAACTAATTCCTATGCAGTTGTAGACCTAGGTGGTCAAGGGTGGAAGATGCGGCTGTCTGAAGGTGGGTGAGATGGTATGGACTGCCGAGTAACCATAACAGCCGGCAGGGCTGTGCATCAGCTGCGATAACCCCGCGCCAAATTTCAGGTCTACGGCGTTCGGGGCAAGGATTGTGATGTCACAACAATTATGGCTCATTCTGTAGCTCGGGTTGAGAAGAGGTGCGGTGGTTGACACCCGGAGGCACGAGGTTCCCATTGGCGGCCAAGGCGGCCATTACAGGAAGCAATACATTCCCAATGGGGTAATCGGTCGATCAGGCCCCGGACTGGCTGGAAATACTTAAGGCCGGGACGTGGTTGATGGGAGACTCCAAGGTCGATCAGACATAACAACACCCTTGTCAGGTAAATGATCCAGTTACCATTAATCGGTGCTGAGTGATGACAGTTGCGGTGGTCTGTACCCCACTCCACTTGGCCCATGTAGAGGGGAAAAGTAGATATCTACAAAGTAGACTAAGAGGATAAGGACTGAGGAGGTGGCGGCGGAGAAAGCGATCTCCGGAGCCATTTTCTCTTATCGGGTGTTTAGCGTGAGGAGATGGTGGAGAGGAAGAGGAGAACAACCCCATCGAGCGAAAAGAGGCATTATCTGGCAGGTTGCCGGAATTTTGAGTGGCAGGTTGGTTGACCATGGAGGAGCATAAGCTTTCTACCGAGTACTACATAGGTAAGAGTACACAGAACTTGGTATCTGCAGGTCGGGGGTGGGAGAATCGAAACTGGGAGGAAACAGTGAACCATTCCTTATGGACGATAGGAGAGGATCAGATGCCAGATACGAGATTCCATGAGGGAAGAGATGCCCGGAGAGGCAGATAGGTGACAGTTGAACCGATGGAAAAGATAGAGAACCCGAGAGAACAGAAGGATTCCATGGCAGTGGCCATGGTGGTATGCAGCCGTTCAGACTTCGAGAATTCCCGGTTCCCACCAGCCCACCCACCCTTGTCCACCGGGCGGGTAACCAACCTGGCCCAACTCCAAGAGGCAAACCGGCTCATCATCGGACCTGGCAGTACTGCAGTGACTGCAGTCATCAGCGGCTTGCCAGTGCCAGGGCAAAGAAGGTATTTCAACCATCCTGACCCCAGGAGCAAATTGAAAAAGAAATCCCTTGATGATGGCAGGCAGTGGTGGTGGTCAGTTATTCAACCAACAACGCCTTGTCTGTTTCTACTCTTATCGTCCCCAGGCATCACCGCTAATGCTATTACTACCACTGTGTGCTTCCAGCCACCAAGGTGATGTGGTTCGTGGTTGACTTCACCAGTGGTTCCATCCCAAACCTTCCCCCGTCTATTTGCCAGCAACACCGCCATCTCCACTCCGTCTGAGGCCTTTTCCCTTTTCTCTTTGCTCTTCGCCTCCCTCTGCCTTCTGATTCGCTCCCTTTCCAATGGGTGCCATTTGCCTCCAATTCTAGGGACGCTCCGAGACAACCATGCACCCTTACTAGGCAAAGCTGTGCCAGGCTATCGTTTCGAACCCTCAAACACCATCCATCCTTTTGATAGTATAATCAAGGGGACTTATGACGAGGTAGCGGCTCGGGTCGCCATTGTATTATTATTACGGACTATTCAGGGAGACAGATCATTCCCCCTGGCTGTCTGATCGGTCCATCGATCTATCTCCCTATCTATCTACACCCGCCCATCGCTGGTTCTCCCATCAGCGTCCTTCCGAATCTCTCTCGCCTGTTCCTTTGGTTTCGCCTCTCTCCTCTCCCCAGTGATTTGATGATCCATCCGATCCCCGTAACTCAGCTTCTGCACGCTTAAACCTTTTTTGTGACGCGGGTTTTCCCTTTTTCTCCCCAATCAACCTCGGTCGCGAAGTTACCACGTCCGCAGTCCCTGACCCATCCAGCGGCATCAGCGGCAGCTTGGGTCTATGACTGAGAGGTTTGGGTCGTTAACGCCACCTCATCGCCGGGCTCATTTTTGAATTCATCTTCAACGTGATCCCCGAATTCAATCTCTATCTTCCCCGGGAGTTACATTTAATCGCTTCGTGGTCCTCCCGATCCGTGGTGGCCACCTACTAGTATACGGAGTACCTTCTTCGCTTTTCGTCTGGTACGAAAACCCGCCATCCGCCGGCGTCCGCCCGCCATTTGTCCGTCCGCGCCTGATTGACGCTAAGGCTCCGTCGCCCACATTGACGGGCATTAATTGCCTGCCCGAGACTGACTGATTGACTTCTTGAAGGCCAAGCTGCTTTCTTCAAGTCGCCCCGGGATTCATTGCGTTTCCCTCTACTAAGACCCTTCAGGTGTGTGCTTCCCTTCCCTCTTTTTCCCTTCCCTTCCCATCATCGCTCCCCACTCGTTGCTGTTGATCTCATCAGCTCCATCCACTTAACTTCCCTCCCACGGCTCAACCCAAAATCCTCTTAACACTTACCAACAGCCACAGACCATCCCGCTTTTACCCCTCTCCTCCTTGTCTTTCCTATCCGAACCCGATCGGATTCATCGTCCCGCAAACTTCCTTGGCTCGTCAACGTCCGGCAGCGTCTGACTCACCTTTTCTTTTTTTCCCCTTTCCACTACTACCGTCAAAAGACGTCACATACCGGTCGGTCTGTACTCGATCGTTTCGTGAAATCTGACTCCGTTTCTCGCATCACAGCGGCGCCACCGACGGCCTCGAATTTCGGTGTTTCCGGTGGAGGATTTTTGGAATTTCATGGAAACATAATCATGGCTGCTGCTCAGAGTGGATTAGGGTCGCAGGGGGATGCGGGTGTGTCGAAGCAGCCTATACCTCGGAGGTGAGTAGAATTGTGCGACTTCCAACTCTTATCGCTGTCGGCCTGGGTTCGTTATCTGCCGCGCTGGCGAAAGTCTCGACAGCACAGCCTCCATTGTGTTGTCACGCCCAACATGGCAGCTTTCATCCTTGGTTTCTGCTGCGCTGCCCATGGATCATATCTCAGGCGGCCGTCATCCGCGACAAGCGATGACTCTATGCAATGCTGCCTGCTGAGAAAAGCTTTACACTCTTGTCACTCTGTGTGCATCGGCTGCGATGGTTCTCTTGTCTTTCATCCTAGCCTAGCATGCATCCGATGGCTGTGGCCTGTTTTATGCTGTCATACCGTTCTCGAATGTTATCGCCGTCTCTGTTCATGGCTAACTCGTCTTATAGCAATGGCGTGCAGGAGGAAGAAGGTCAGGACCAGATCGGTTCCAACAGCCCAACCCCCACTGGCATCTCGACCCCGCAGCCTGATCTAGCGGACAAGCGTCTGCCGTCCATAAACTCCAGTTATTTCCAGGTTGGTTCTCCCTCTGGTGATAAAATCCGTCCTTCCAGCACCCGGTCTTCTTCTGAGACCCCTTCCTCCGCGCAAAATTCCCTGTCGGATACGTCCACTACAGGGACACGGGATGATCATGGGCCCTCACCCTCGGGCTCCTTTGTCATGATGGAGCGTCCTGAGGCTTCAGATACCCAGTCTTCTGCCGCTTCGCCGGATCAGAGACCGGAGACACAATTACAGCCGGAAACGTTGCCCCCTACGAATCTACCTACTCCCCCCTACAGCTCCGCTTGTTCCCTTTTGCAGAAAGATTCAGATGAGACTGAACTGGGCTCTTCTGCCCCAGATAAGGGCATGAGCTCTCTATTTAATACCTTGAAGAATTATCTTTCTCCATCCGGAAGCATGTCATCTCCTGAGCAAACATCCCGTCGTCACACCTCTCTTCCCGTCTCAAGCGTTTCTGACGACCCAGTCCTTGCCTCTCATTTCTCCAACCCATCCCTTCTTCCTACCTCAGATGCGTTCTCTGTGCCGGAAGCTCCCCTACTCGAACACGAAAAACCACATGTGTCTATGTCTTCTGAGAATCTGGCGAAGCTAACTGGAACTGTGTCGGATCTCGTGCGTCTAAAGAGTACTCCCCCTCTCACGCCTCGTGCTATGTCCAATGAAGGCTCGCAACCCGACAAGAAGCCGCCCACATCATCCCCTCATCCGTCAGAACCTGTGCAGCCACAGTCCGATGAAGCCTCCAGTGCCGCAGACGAGATCGCCGGCAAGCTCAACGAGGTGTTCCCCCCTGAGAGAGATAGCCCTTCGCCAAATGGTCCACCAGTGGCCTCGCTTAAGGGCAAGCTCTTTGTGAATATATCGGAAGCCAGGGGCCTCCGACCCGGCTTCGACCCTTACGTCGTCTGCGTCTTTGAGTGGAATGAGTGTATCTCTAAGAGCGCCCAGGATGAGGAAGAAGCCACGTTGGAACGGCAACAGAAGGAGCAAGAGAAGTCGGACCGTGATGCCGGCCGGCCGATGGCTATCCCGATGAAGAGCCGACAGAGCAGCAACAACAGTGCTCTCGATGGTCCCGACCACAAGGGTCGGGCTCCAGTGACCGACCCGCATTGGAACCACGAGGCGGTCTTGTACGTTTCACTCTTCTTTCCTTTGGTTTAGACTTCTGAGAGGAGTATGTGACTGACGGCTTCTAGTGATGTCTTCGGCGATCAGTCAGAGGTAGATGTCTCTGTGTATGACCGCAAGGATCAGGAAGCATTCTTGGGCCATGTACGACTTTGTATCAACCTGAAGGATGACAACAGCCGGTTAGAAGGATGGTTCCCCTTGAAGTCCCGAGCAGCGGGTGACCCTCAGGTGTCTGGGGAGATTCATATGGAGATGCGCTTCGAGAGGACAGAAAAGAAGCAGGTTGGACCGAACGACTTCCAGATTCTGAAGCTCATCGGTAAGGGAACATTTGGCCAGGTATACCAGGTCAAAAAGAAGGACACGCGTCGTATCTATGCGATGAAGGTCCTGTCGAAGAAAGTTATTATTCAGAAGAAGGAGGTTGCGCATACTCTAGGCGAGCGAAATATTCTCGTCCGGACTGCAATGGCCGCTTCCCCTTTCATCGTCGGCTTGAAGTTCTCTTTCCAAACCCCCACCGATCTCTACCTTGTCACCGACTACATGTCCGGCGGAGAGCTATTCTGGCATCTCCAGAAAGAAGGGCGATTCCAGGAGGCTAGGGCCAAGTTCTATATCGCCGAACTGATCCTAGCCCTGCAGCATCTTCATGATCACGATATCGTTTATCGCGATCTGAAACCAGAGAACATTCTGTTGGATGCGAACGGTCACATTGCTCTCTGTGACTTTGGTCTCTCAAAGGCCAACTTGACCCAGAACGACACGACGAATACTTTCTGTGGAACAACCGAGTACCTCGCGCCCGAGGTACTACTGGACGAACAGGGCTACACCAAGATGGTCGACTTCTGGTCCCTTGGTGTTTTGGTATTCGAGATGTGCTGTGGCTGGAGTCCCTTCTACGCGGAGGACACTCAGCAGATGTATAAGAACATTGCTTTTGGTAAAGTCCGGTTTCCCCGCGATGCTCTTAGCACGGAAGGACGCAACTTTGTGAAAGGGTTGCTCAACCGGAACCCCAAGCACCGCCTGGGGGCCAAGGGTGATGCCAGCGAGCTTATGGCACATCCTTTCTTTAACGACGTCGATTGGGAGGCGTTGGGTCGTAAGGAGGTGATCCCTCCCTTCAAGCCAACGCTCACGTCTGACACGGACACGTCCAACTTCGACCCCGAGTTCACGAACGCGCTGGAGAACAACAACTCGCTCAATGACCGTGCGGCGGCCATTGCCAACGGGTTCATGCCGGCATCGACGCCGTTGTCTCCGGGCCTGCAGGCCAACTTCAAGGGCTTCACCTTTGTCAATGAAAGCTCCATCGATCACCACTTCAAGAGCGAGCCTGGTGACCATATGGAAGAGGACACGGAGCTCTGGCAACGACCTCACCAGCCGGCCAGCGCGGCTAACCACCGCATGAGCGGGGTGCAGAGGACACACGAGGGCGGCGAGCCCGGTATCTTCAACGTTGATGACAATTTCGACATGTGATTATGGAATTATGCATGATAATGGAGTTGTGACTCATATGACATTTGGTTTGCTTTGTACATGCCTATGTGGGTGAATCAGGCTTAAACTGTTGTTACCTTTCGTTTCTGATTTGTTGTCTGTGGATCCACCTTAGCTGTTGTTTATTTTGCTTGCTCTGGTAACAGCAGGATTAGTCCCCCGCCATGGTCTGGTCATATTTTATCTTTAACCCAATTTGGCTTCTGTCTTGTTCCTCCTGGTCATCTGGTCCGATGGTTGGATATGTTTATCGATCGGGCTGGTCCTGCGCAGATGGGACCGGCCTTCGATCCAGGAATACCTGATCCGACATTGCACTTGTTCATTTCCTCGATCCCTGTGATATCCGGCAGTGGCCAGCTGCCTTGGTTTTGCGGTTAATTGGCGACTTTTCCCCTCCGGTCTTCCCATGCGGGAGTGAGCATGGGGGACCATGGAGGAGAGATGATGCAGCGGCGTTTATCCGGCAGCATGGCGCAGGAGGTCGCTTGCTTGGGATGGTTGGCGCACAGCCAGCATACGAGTTGCTTAAAGTACTACAGATCTTTTCTGGACCGTAGCTGCTCTAGTTAATACTAAATGATCAGCATCACTTCAATTGTAAGCCCCGGGACCCATTCCAGCCACCGGGCCACTAGAGATTCTAGATCGTATCAACCTCGGTATTTCAGCGGCCTGGGATCAAGCAGCCGGGCCGTCCCCATCGCCCACCGCTCAAACTCTGGGCTGAAACGCATCATCGGACCAGGCCCGTCCCCGAAGAAAACCCATCCCGAATGTCGGTAGATCTCCCACGTCTCGGAATCGGCGACTTATGAAAAAATGTGCATGCACTGGCCATCCGTACCCTATTTTTGCCCCCGAGTATGCCAAAGATAATCCGAAACGAGACATTGTCTAACACGCACGGGAAGATGTTGGCTAGGTATGGAGTACGTGGATAGATAATGCCACTGCGTGATCCGACCGCGGTGAGATTTGACGAGAGGGATTGTTTGGTTCTCGTATCTATTTTTGTTTGTTGTGTCAGATCTTTGTTTGAGATGGTGGGTGGTGGGAATACACCACTGTCCATGGTTAGAAGAGTGAACATCACCAATCAGACTGCTATCGGACGATTCCTGACTCGCTGATGCCAAGAATGGGTTCGGTGGTGGTGGTGGTCACTTTGGGGGCCGTGCACTGCTACTACTTTGTGGTTGTGATCTCTCTTTGTTCATGGACCGTGGATGAGATCTTCCGGATTGTTCTCGGATAACAAAGCAGGAGGGTATGTAAGTAGGGTACCCGTAGTCTTTGTCCGATCGGATGTTTGATTCCGGTGTAACTAACCAACCCCTGTCGGTTTCTATCCTCCGTATCCCGTTCGGTATGGACCTGCCGGATCGTACATATCGACATGGATAGCAGCCCGGGTACCGAGTACTACATATTTCTATGTACTATGTATATCTCACCCTGCACACAGAATACCTGCAATCAGACATCGCAGAGACTAGTCCATGCAATCCTCTCAAACAGGCAACGGCAAGACCAGAACGAGTAAGACCCAACCATGCGCCATGCGTCGATCAACATTCGCAACGATCCGAAGGAGCACCCCTTCAAGCCAATCGCAAGGCGTCCGACCATGAGCGAAGCAACACTTGCAGGTTCGCAATCCAGACTGGACTGGACTGGACGGTTGCGCTGCTGCAGCCACGGCCCCACGGGACCTGACTCGACGTGGCCATGTGAAACGACACGTTTTTCTTTTCTTTTCTTTTTTTTTTTCGTCTTCCGTGTTTCCTTTTTTTCATTTCTTAATTTTATTTTGTTTGTTGCTTGTTTCATAGTGGCTGTGGTGGTGGTACAGCGCGTGATATTTATACGGGCCCTACAGATCGGAGGGTTTACGAAGTCGGAACAAAAATGGGACACTGGTTGCATTGCATGGCCGCTTGCCACTTGGTGGAGTGTCAGACCGTCGACGGCATTTGTCTGGATCGGTTTGTCTCGGGTTGGAGTGTGTGATTACTGTTCCGAGTTAGTCGTGCTGTGTAGGGCGTTTAGTGTAGACAGTGGGTTCGGATTTAAGAGTGACAGTCACAATGCAGAGACAGTGACTTACCAGTAGGTATCGATGTGGGCAGGGAGGGATTCTATATCTGCTGGCTAGTGACCACGGCTAAATATTGCAATTTATTCCTTGTCAAGTATATACACCATGCAATCTACATGACGAAGCAAGTGGAACGGTTATCTCCGAGCTTGGGATTGACTGGCCATCGTTGTCTGAGATTGATGCTCAGGAACGGGGGCTGACTAACCAGGTTGCACAGGCGTGTGTGACTCCGGCCTGAGGTGTCCCACTTCTGCTGCCCCTTTGCAACCAACGGGTCCGGCGCATCAGCCAATGGTTAATTGACGGTGCGAGCCGACGTGTGGAAGGGGATCCATTGCCATGGAGGCTAAGGCGAAGAGGCTAGAGGCGAAGCGGGTGATAACGGTGGTTCGTCTTCAGGAGACGTCCTGCAGGGTATTTCTGTTGCCTGCGTGGTCCCCAACACACAGGCACCTGTACTGTGTACGTGCAACCTGTAACGGATACTTCGTAGTCTGACTTCGACCCCAGACGAGGACTGCTGCTCAACGTAAATCCCGCTCACGGTGATCGTAAGCAGTACCGACGTCATCAACCCATTGGAGGGTATAAATAAACTTCAGAATTGACCCCAACTACTGGATCATCAACCTTGTCCGGGGGCACTCGAGTCACCGCACCGTGACTGAAAAGGGGCTCGTCCAGTTGTTCCATGCCGAATGAACCGCCTCCATCCGGTCTAGCGCCGTGTTCCTGACGCTAGCGGTGCCCCGGCCATGGCACTAGACCCCAAAATTCCCTAGTCTCTATGCCTGGTTCCGCGGGTGTCGAGGCATCCCCTGGCACGGGATCCCATGGATTCGGGGCTGCCACCTCCTTTTCCTTCCCCTCCGTCGTCATCCTCTGATCCTCGACCAAACTCTTGGGTGGGATCGGGTCTACGGACGGGAGTTATCTTCCATACCGGCAAAAGTGAAAAGCGAGGACAGATGGATCCCCGCCTCATCCTTGGTCTCTGACAGGTTCGCATCCTGCAGAGGGCAGACCTCCCACGAGTCGCATCGTTACTGGTTTGGGGTGATGCGACGGACTAACTCTCCAGCTAATGATTTAGTTCACGGGCCTCTGTCCTCTTTGGAGTATGGCCATGGCAGTTGAATCCTGGAGTTGCCCGATGCTTTTTCAGCTGAGTTCACGGTTCACAGTGCAAGTGACTCCGTACGGGCTGATGGCGATGTTGTCCGTCATACCCGAATCCCCCCCTCCCCCTGGCGAGGACCTCCCTTGGGTCGGATGGAGTGATGTTTGAGCCGAGGTGGTCTCCGCTTTGCCAATTGCAGCACGAGTCGCTGTGATGCCGATGCCCTGCAGTCGCACCACGGACTAGTGAACCTAAGATCCTCGTTCCTCCGGTGGGGACGATCGGCCCTCGACTGCCGTCCCATGTCCTCGTCCCAAGGTCTGAACTACCACCTAGTGACCTACTTCCATCCAACGGAGAAGTGGCGTGTTCGCGGTGGTCGGCCTCTTGACTTTCTCGTGCCATTGATGGCCCTGCGTTAAGCTCCTTTGGGGCCGCCACTACTCATCCCGGTTACTTTTTGGCGCCCGCTCGTTCCCCTCGTTCCAGTCGTTCTCCTAAAATAGCGCCGCGCTCGCTTTTCTTTTTTCTCGAGTACTTCCCGGGGTTTTCAGTTGACATCCTTCATGGTGGTTTCTTCCACTTGCCTGTCCTTCCTTTTCGTTCCTTACACCCACACTCCTTCACCCCTACACGCTTTGATCAGTGTATCTTGCTGTGCTTTATCGCTGTACATACATTCCAGTGCCGTTCCTTTTGGCCCATCGTCCCCACTCTAGCGCCTTTTCTCCCCTTTTCCCTCTCCAACGGGTCTTTGCACGCTATATTATACCACACGCACCACCACTTTCGCTCCTCGATTCGCACATACGCATCCTGTTTTGGTGCTCGTCAAATGCAACACCCGGGTTCATAATGAATGTCGTCGCCAGTAGACCCGAGAGCGCTGCTGTGCCTTTCTCCCCCATTTCCCACCAAAGCCAGATCCATCACTACAAGGATGCAGCATATGCCGTGACAGTGCAGCCGGTCTCCTCTAGAACGTCATCCGTTTCTTCCTTCAAGAGCAACTACAGTGTTTCCACTGCCCCGACAGTCTACTCGCCGATCTCCCCCGCATCCCCATATCGCTTCGACTCCGCAGCTTCTCTGGATAAGATATTGGAGTCGGTGTTCAAACGACTACCGCAGGAGGTCTACGATGTTATTCTAGATCAGTTGCAGTACCTACATACCGGCCCGAATCAGATGGGATGCTTGACATGTTTCCAGCGCGACCTTCATGCTCTCTCCTTGACCTGTCGGTCCTGGGAGAAGGCTGTCAGAGCGAAATTGTAAGTGTTTTGTTCTAATCCTCCGTGGCTACGACCAACGAAGTATGCTAACCATTCGCCACAGGTATAACCGCATACATATCATTGGAAATGATTCGCCGTCCCAGTTGAAGAAATATCGACTCAAACGGGGAAGCCGCTTGAAGTTGCTTAGACGAACCCTCCGGGAGAGGAAATTGCTGGCCAATCTCGTTCTGGAGCTTCGCGTTCCCCAGATGGACTTGTTGTTCACCGCAGTGAAGCAGAGCACTCAGTGGCAGGAGTATCGAGACCTTGTCGCCTCGGTCGTCATGGTGTGCCCGAATTTGGAACGCTTGCTAGGCCTGACCATCCCGTACAACCACGAGTTCGATCGTCTGACACATGCGTTGTCCACGCGGCGGAAGCTGAAGGAGCATACATGGGTTTTGGGAGAGGCCCCGGCGGTCTCTGAAGAATCTCCTCGCAGCACCTCATGCCCCGGGAGCTTGGGCCCTTCGCAGATGTTTGAGTTTCTTAACTATCACACGTCATGGACCAATCTAGAAACGCTGATGCTCTATGGTGTTAACGAGAACAACGCCCTGGAACCGAGTATCTTCCTTCGCATGATCAGCCTCTTGCCGTCGCTCCGAAACCTTTGCATTTCCAACTTTGATGCAGATGCCTTTGCGGACAGCGCGCTGCTGTGTCTGCCGTCGCTGGACTCGCTTCGTCTGGAGAGCCTCCCAGGCGTGACTGATACAGGACTGTGTCAGTATGCAACGCGCCCCGAGTCTCGCTCCCTCAAATCATTGGCCCTGATTGAACAGAACATCGAGTCCTTGCTCACAGTCTCGAAAATCCTGTCATCACTGAGACAATTAGAACGCTTCAAGTTCGTCCAAAGCAACATGTGCCCTACGCTGAATGCCGATGGGCTTGTCTTTCAACCGCTTTTCGCCTCCGCCAGCCTCAAATATCTGCACTGGGACGTTACGGGCCCTGACTCTGCCGCCGCGCTCAGCAGGCTTGACTATGTTCCGTTTGTGAAACCGCCACGACACACCGAGTCGCCAAACTCCCATCTCGCTCAGAGTATCCTGTCGGCCGGCTTCCCCCGTCTTGCAGCATTGCGAGCGCCCTCGGACATAGAACCTCCGGGGGTTCTTCAAGCTGTATGTCAGCCAATGCCAAATGGACAGGCACTGCTCAAGCCGGATCGTTACAGTCTCCCTCGCAGCTCCCATGGTTCGGTCACCACCCGGCCAATGGCGCTGCCGGCCGGGAACAACCTGACCTCTGCTCGGATCCGAGCGCAGACCTTTATCGATATGGCCGCGAAGGACACAGAAACCGGAATGCGGCTGGTCTTCACTGACCACTCCGACTCGTACGTCCCGGACAATGCATTGGACGACAGCTCAGATGACGGCTCCGATCTGGACATGGACGATTTCGGCATCGGCGGTGTGCAGCCTAAGAATGACATTCTCTCCGAAGACCACGAAGGACCTGTCACCGTGTATGATTTCCGGATGCCCGCGTTCATGGGGCGGATCGGCTGCAGGACGAGTGACGGGGATGTCTCAATTCCGCGGTTCATCCTCCGTCCCGACATACCAGGACAGGATGGAGATGGAGGCCTAGTGGATTGGAAACATGTGCTGGCCTCCAGCCAATCCCTTACCTACGCTGCCGGTGTTGGGGTAAACTGTTTCGGTGGTAAGGGTGCCGCGAAACCGGTGCCCGAAGAGCCACCATCTCCGACCTCGACTACCACCTCCCGCTTCGGATGGGGCAGCATCGGCAGTCGATCGGCGCTGGGCACCAGTCCAAACACGCCCACGACCCCAGCAACACCGATGAGTCTTTCATCCACGGCGCTTCCTTGGGACCGGGATGCCTGCACGGGGTCTTGGAATTACAGTCACAAAGGTGGACGGGACTGGTGGTTCCACATGGAACGAGACCGGCCAGGGAATGTCGAGATAGTCGACGTGAAGCAGCTTTTCTAGGATGTACATCACGGGTGACGTGCATTTGATCTCCCATTTATTTTCTTGTTCACATTGGAAGGAACGGCATGCATGGTACATGCTAGTGGTATACGCAGAAACGGCGTTTACGGATGACGATTTCATCACTTTGGTTTTTTTTTCTGGACACTTCTGACCTAACATGGTGCAGAGGTCTCACTCTTCTCTGTTTATTAATTGGAGCTTTATGGACATATCCCTATGATCTGGGTCATCTTCGGCTGACATCTGGCGCACCGCTGCGGACAATTTTCATACTCTTGATTCTCATTCCCTCTATATCCATGTGTTTTTTGTTTGTACAGATCCTAATGGGTGGCATTTTTCCTTGCTCCTGTATATTGGTTGTTATAAGTATTACTTTGATCAGACCGATCGTATATATCCCTAGTGCTAATGCATATGCTACGTACATAGTACCTTATTATTATTCCATGTAGCTTTAGACTTGCTTGCTCTATAGATGACTTCTAATTCTGTATCGACCCAATTCCATTCATCTCCATGATGAAACCCAAGCATCCCTCCCTTCTTCCATCCCTCCAGCTATCCAGCCCTCCCAACGAACCACACCATTCTAACCCCATGAATCAATCGACCAAGTCGAATTAAATCAGTTCAGGCCAGATTATCCCAGCACCTCAAATCCAGCAGTATATCAACAACAATCCCTTTGCAGCTTAATGCCTATGAATACACCGATGATGATCAACCCACAAACTTGAACCCATAACCAGGAATATATTCACATTCGTATGCTGTGGGTATGTCGCATGTCGTATGATTGTGATGTGGCATGCCCATCCGGCTCATCTAGGGGACTGGCGGGATATATACAATGCGAGATAGACAATGATAAAACAGATGAATCTACTCAATTTAAAGCTTAGCCTGGTAGTACGCAATAATACCCCTAAAAAATCAATATACTACCCTCAAGCTCAAGCCCCTATATGTACACCACATAAATAGCCATAACATCCAACACCTAACCAGCGATAGATATAGCCCAATCCACCATGTTCCTACCTTTTCCTTATATTGCATATTTGGTTAGAGGAATATATCAACAAATGGGGCAATGGCGCATCTGGGAGCGCGTCAGACTGAAGATCTGGAGGTGGCCGGTTCAAGCCCGGCTTGCCCCATTACTTTTCTTTTTGCTCCTCCATCTGCTGGAGGAGTTCATATTTTCTATATGTGGGGGGGGATTCAGTCGCGTAGCTGTACGGTGGGTCTGTGGACTTAGTTAGTCATTGGCCTGGTTATGTAAGTGGTTAGTCATCTGCAGAGTGCCTTGGGATTGAAGGTACGGAGTGACCGTGGTTCTCATGTCTAGGTACAACCTCGACTCTTAGCAAAGTTAAGGCCATCTATATCAACGATAGCCTGTACGGATTACAGACTAGCTCGTTACTGTCCATCTGCAAGGAACACCGTACGGGGCCTGCCATGCTGTTACTTTTAGCACTGTGACGAAACGGGTAGGTAGCACTGCAGACTGCAGCGCATATCTGTTGTATCACAGAGGTTAAGTAGACCTATGCTGTCAACTGTCAATGTGTCCAGGTATAGGTGAGACAGGAAGATTATGCAGTACCTGGAAGCTCTCAGTCACATAACAGTAAGCAGTAGATATACAACCCCCCACTCCCAGAATAGTCCATACCGCTTCTCATCCTTGAGAATACCTTCAACTCATGAGGCAGCTTGACAACTTCCAGTGCATGGAACAGTCAAACTACATGGTGTTATAGTGGCTTACGGGTTGTATTCGCCACAGTGAACTCCACACCTTCACAGGCAACTATATCAACTCGAGATCCTGAAATCATATCCAACCATGACAACCTCCACATGGTATGATACACAGCATCCGAGTTCCTGCAAACCATGAGCCCAATTTTAAATCCCACCATTAAGACTCGGGCTGCTTCTGACGCGTGTAATCATTGCCGGCATGACTGGTTCTTGTCTCACTGATACACGCACGTGGCACACGATGCATGCGGGAAGAGATTGATGTACCGTTTATGTTGTGTATGTCTGCTATGTGACATTGGTATATCACCCTTTTCTAAGAACGGAAAAAATGAAAAAGAAAGAGGGAATAGAAAAAGAAAGGAGGCGTGCATATATCTCCGCTGCGTTGAGATACCAACCACCCTAACATCCGTCGTGGGTATTAAACGGCCGTCTACACACATATCCACACACAGAGACATACCCATACATAAAAGCGCCCCGAAAAGAAAAATCATAGAAAGTACAAGATACGAATGAAAACCCAACGAACAAGTAAAGGCAAAAGAAAAAACAAGTCTTAAACTCCACCCCAACATACCGAACCCAACCCTTCCCAACCTGCACCTCATCCATCTATCAACCACCCAGCCCAACCAGACCAGGCAAGAAGTAAAACAAATGAAACCACGCAAGCTACCACCAAAAGCCACCATGAACAGCCAAGATGCTCCACGGACAAACAACTTAAATAAGGTAAAAAAATGGGGCAAGCCGGGCTTGAACCGGCCACCTCCAGATCTTCAGTCTGACGCGCTCCCAGATGCGCCATTGCCCCGTACTTGTTGAGTTGAGGCGTATGTTTGATATTGTGAGGCAGGTGTATTTTGGGTACTTTGATAGGGTTTCGAGATGTATATAGCTTGTCTCGTGTGGAATGCCGGTGGGTAGGGTTTGCATGATTGATGGGTGCTCTGGGTAGGGGACCTTGAAAAGACGTTGATGGTATTAGGGATCAAGCGCCGTATCTGCGTATGGATTTGGAGGGTCAATAGTGCTGAAGATTGATATCGCCGAGCTGGCGGCGTGTGGCTGTATGGAATCTTCTTCGTTTATTATGGAGAGCACCGTCAATCACTCTCGGTATCTGCCATGACCGTTTTCGCTGGGCTAGTTCCTAACATCATCCTCAGTCTAATTTTCAGCATATCGTCCATTGAACCCCGTGTATATTGACTGTACCCTGCGTCTTGATTACATTTTCTCGGATGATGCTGATTTCGAAGATGAGTGAGCTCCTGATGTTTATTTAAGGATATGTGGAAGGAAATTCCCGGCCTTCCAGGACATACATTGTCTACGGGCCATTTCCTCAGTATACAGCCGCTGCAGTTGAAACCCGATTACCCACGAAACACACCCGTGTGGTAGGATAAATACCTTTCATATAGTATAATATAACAAGAACATAAATTAAACTAGACTAATGTAGCAATATTTGCCATCCTAAGGCCAAAATCGCCCTGCAAAGTGGACTAACCAGTAAACCTAACTGCTTACAAGAATAGTGAAAAACAGTAGTATTATAATAAAAAGGGGCAATGGCGCATCTGGGAGCGCGTCAGACTGAAGCTCTAACTTCGGCCATAGGCTTCATCCTCTCTGAGGGTGTCCCTGTTAATCTGAAGGTGGCCGGTTCAAGCCCGGCTTGCCCCAATTTTTCTTTTTATTTTTACTCCTTTTCACCCGCCCACCTCTACAACCACCTCCTTATCGTTCAACAACAATTGTTATTTTACTTTTTACTTACTCCCTATTGATTCAAGGCTCTCTACTGAGTATTCCACTATTGTTTCTCTTTCCCTTTCTTTCCTCCCCACCCTGAACCATTTGTTCCCCACGGGTGGTGAACCATCCAGCCTGCATCACGTCGCTGTACTTTATTCTCCCCGTTCGAGCCTGCTTGCTGTCTTATCCTAGATGTCCAGACATAAAATTTACCCGATCGCTGTACCTTTATGTAAATTCATCCGCGCAATATCGCACAATTTAGCCATTGCCGCTATCAATTCCAAAACGCCGACCTCAGAAATGTGAATTAGTTATATCAGCATACTTTGCACTATATATTCTCACCCTCTCCATGATCAACTCGCCACGCTGACATCGGTGATATAGGTCGTATTCCCCCCCCACCCCCCTGTATAGAAAGGAATTAGGAAATGACCTGCTGGCTTAACCTTCTATCCAGTAGATCAATCATTCAATCTGGTCATTTGGATCGATCGGATTGTATCAATATTATCAAGGCTAAGCAATATTCCATCGTTTTCCCGCTCGGCCATAGTGTTTCGTATTCACGATGATTCGCTCCGTAAAAAAACCGACAAAGTAGTGGAGGAATCTATACCAAAGGGGGGGGGGGGGCAACACAAAGAATTAGCGCAGATCCAAACACGAAGAAATGTCATATGGAACAAAGAATAAATCACAATCAATCAGGATATATACATGGTGGAATAATATACATACATCCGCGTGATTAGGTGGGAGATCAAATAAATGCCAGCTGATAAGAACCGATCCCATTAGGTAGTTGTACATAATGAATAGCTGGATTGAACAATCAACCGGACCTTATAGGGGAATGTGATTCAGCAGTGCTGGAGCATCTACTCACGATCTGGGTTATCTGTTACCTCTGTCTTGGTCTATCGATTATGGTGGTTTGCCTTCTTTCTGATAGGCCGTGGGTTGTGGATATTTGCGATTATTGGTCTTTTGGTATGTGTATGGTAAGTATGTAATTCGATAGGGAATATATCTACGGTACATCGGATGTATCGATAGATAGAATAGAATGAGATCTCCGATTTAGATCTGAAATAAGGAAATCCGACACATCATCTGGTGATTAGGGGGTTTACGAAGATATACCGAGGAAAAAAGGGAATGTATCTATATCAGAAAGTAACCCAACGAGAATCGCACGACCAAGTCTCCATCAATATATTCACAAAGGCTTCCCGTCACCTCAGCTGGCGTTTGAGTTCCGTCAACAAGTCATATGACTGCTACGTAGTAATTCAACGACCACTTCTTTCTTACCCTTACGGAACATGCCAGCCATGGCTTATGAAACCACCCGTAGACCACCTCACACTGGAATAGATTAGTGGGAACTAAACCATGTAAGTGCCGAACCACCGATTCTCAATCGATGGCAAAGGTTCGGAATATCGCTACTACCTGACGAGTTTGGCAACGACACCCGCTGGTAGGGTGGAGGTCATACTGTGTTCTCTCCGTTGGAGATGGGGAGTTCAGTTGAGTAATGGAATGTAGCTTCGAGTTCTGAACCGTGTTGATCATCCAGAGGATATAAATAAGGCGTCACACCCGGCTTGCTGTTGTTGTTACAAGCTCAGCAGACTTTTACTTTGCTGATTCTTTCAACCATCATTGTCTCCTATCAAGATGAGACGGGAAGACTGTAAGAAGGAGGAGAAAAGAAGGGAGGAGAAGAAGGAGTCGAAGAAAAAGGAGGACGAAAGAAAAATGGAGGATGACCCTGAGAAAGAGCAATTCATAGGGACCTCTGCAGTAGCTAAGGTACTTGATGAAGCCCAAATCCCCTATGTCATCTGGGGCGGGGTGATGTACGTTCTGATGCATGTCCGGAAAGGTTGTTCCAAGGTAAGTCATGATCACTAGGAGGGAGGTGATAGGAATTAACGTACGTACCATAGCTGGAGATAACCTTTGTGATCCCGGATGAATATCTGAGCGAGGCAGTCCAGGCGCTCAGAGCCGCGGGGTACTCCGATAGAAATGCCTGGGATTGGTCCTGTTTCTGGGATCGTCCCCATGAGAGCATCCGCGGGGCTTATACGTGGCCTGCCCACCCCTTTGAACCAAAGAAGGGCCTCACATTTCATAACCCCATCGGTCTGCTTCGGAAGTCCCAGTGGCTCTCCAGCTTCCCTGACCCCCCCGTCGGCTTCCCCAGAGACGACGACCCGAACTTCATGCTCACAACGGATTGCCGCCTTATGGACTGGGGGACCCCCGGGTGGGCTAGTGATTTCTACCCGGTCAAGATGCTCAAGCCTGTCCCGTGGGTAGAGTCATTGATTCTCCAAGAGGTGCGCGATTGGACTCTCAAGAAAAGCGTAGGGGTGGGTTGGCCCTGGCTCCAGGCCATCGAGCAATTCCATCGGAATTCCGCAAGGCTCCTTCCCCGGGAATTGTTCAGTCCCCACTGCATCCGGCAGCCCTTCGGTACCATCTATGAGCGTTTGATGGTCGTGGATGATGATAGAGTGACTTGCCGTGAGATTAATCCATTACTGGATCAGATATGGGAGGACATGCGGGCGAAGGGCACTCTGCCGGACCCCATGTTTGAGTGTGTTGACCCAGGCTTCAAGGAATGCTTGGAATTTCGAAAGCAACTGAGGGGCTTGTCTGGTGAAGAAATCGAGGAGCGGTTTGGGGAGAACGCAGCAGACTAGAGGCTGGGGGAGATGTCCACCATCCTTTAGGCTTACTGCGTCTACACAAGCTGATACGCGCGTAGGGTAGATCTACACCAGTCCAATTTCCCTAGAAGCAAATTCGATTCATCAAACTATTCAACATCACTGAAGCAAAGGACTTCCTTCCACTCATCTCTCGATTTCCTTTTAAAGGGCTGCGTCTCCGCATTGACGAGCTTGCGTAAATGATCTCTAATTACCTCTTCCTGGGACGGTTGCCACCTGTGTCCCTTCTCAAGCTTATGGGCCAAGTCCCAGACGAGCTGTGCATCTTCTGGCAACCCTGGTCGACAATCTTTGATCGCCTTTAGAATAAGGAAAGGAAGAGGAAGCACCGGTAAGGAGCCCGGAAGGAACTTTCCGAGCGGTTGCCTGATCCGTCGTAGAGCGGAGCGATAGATCCACTCGTCATCCACAGTTGGCGGCAATGGTCCCCCAACTGAGAAGGTGTGGATTTTGATATCGACAGTCCATACCGAGCAATTCATAGTGAGATGGATGTCAGCAGGCCTCTTTCCAGGCCTCTTCAACGGCTTCTTAGCAGCCTTTTTGGTGGCCTTCTGGGCGGGTTGACCGGGGGATGGCTTCGTCTGGGAAGCGGAGACGTTTCTCGCTTCGAATATGCCACCCCTGTTTTCGATGAGAGTTTTCTTCAGTGAAACCGGTGCCTCTTGGGTTAGAACGATTATCTCTACTTCCTTCTTCGTCTGTACTGTGTAAGCTATCTGCTCATGGGATATAATGGTCCCCGGGGGGGGGGGAAGGAGTGGCATACGTCAATTCTACTACTATCCAGATAATGCTGGCGGGCAGCTTGACCCACGACAATTACACTGGAAGCACTAAGCTTCTACAGCGGTTGGATTGCCCAGATAGAAAAATGGACAGGAGCAACAGCCGTGAAGGAATTCAAGGCCAAAGTGTCTTCCGTGGGTTCGGAGGCGGTCGTGGTAGCAGCGGCATCAGGCGCATCTGCTGGTTCAAGTACAGCAGGGGCACCGGGTGCGTCTACCACACCAGGCGTAGCTGGCTCGTTGGCAGCGGGGAGAGGAGAAGAATGGTCAGAGGTAGAGGGGGCGTTGGGAGGAGAGGAACCGCGGGTGGGTGAGAACGAACATATCCGTGTCGAGGGTCCGGCCTCGGAGGGAGCATCGACCAAGTCTTTGCGCTCTTCAGACTCGGGGTTGTTTTTACGGGCCTGAACCTGAATTTTCTTCATCATGAAAAGATACTGGTGATGAAGGAAGCAGAGGTAATCGCTTTTGCTCGGAGTCAGGCTGACTTTATAGACGACCCGGGGTTGAGGAAGGGTGGATTTATTGAGTCGTGCTTCCTCCGTTTCCCTTCAGCACCATGCTTCACTACGCCCCTCAAGCCCCTCGGCGTCTAGAGCGAGCACGAGGCTGGATGCGTTGGCATCAATACAGGCTGTGAAAGCCGGCGCCGCCTGTCATGGCTTCGGCGCGGAGCTGGAAGCTGGACCTTTCCGCCTCTCATATGCACCGATTATCTTACACAACTGGCCCTGTTCTCATTCTAGTTTCGAGATGAACAGGACAAAGAATTTCCCGCCGAGATGGATTGTGCTCTGCATCTGCTGGTTTCGTATCCTGGTTACCCCTTCTTGCAGCAGAGGTGCCTTAGGCTCGGCCTATGTTACACCAGCTCTCGGTTGAGCGTTTGACAGCTAGTACGAGCTCTCCCACCCCCCCGACCGAAGTCGGTTGGTCTTCCATTGTATGACTGGGGATCAGCAACGTAGTCTATCCAACAATCACTCTAATGACGTAGCGTGGATTGGAAGTGGATTGGAAGATACGGTACTCGAAGATTTTCGCCGGTCGGCGGAGGGAGATATGTAAGGTTCCAACGTGAGCGTAGGATGGAGGCACATCCGTCGATAATTTTAATACAGATGGTGCGAGAATTCTGTCAAGGGAAGGGACCCATGTCAAATAGATCAGTTCCAAGGTTTTGGCCGATTCGTCGTAGCCCAAGGATGATGAAGCTCCAAGCCACGGACAAGTACGGAGCATTCACGGCGGATAATTGCGTGGCCCGCCAATTCTGACGACCAATGAAGGCGATTATTTTGCCGAATCAGAAATCGAGCGTCCGCTGAGACCTGACATGTAGCACCCAAGTCTTGTAGTCAGCCTAGGCCCCAAAAATAGCTTGGGGAGGCTCATCGACTATTCGTTGTTAGAGATCAGCACTACAAGATGTGAAACGTAACCAACCTACCAGAGTGCGCTGCGTAGGCTGCCTCTTGCCCCTTTTCCCTCATCCATCTGAACCGCATGTGCCTTGTGAGTAGATCAGTTGTCCGATAGCACCTAGCAGTACCAAGGCTGTCTTACGGTGACCATTCTCGTATTCCATGCACATGGTCAATGAACCGTGACATCGTGAAGGACCCGGCGATTCTCAGATGCTGATGTAAACTTCCCCTGACCTCCCACTGGACATATTGAGCCGAGTAGAGTGCATGTAATTGAAAATAATCCCCTAATAGGTTTTGAGTGAGAAATCGCTAGAAGGAGACTGACAGCCATGAGGAGACGCGCTCATTCTGGAAGATATCGTGTAGATGAGCCGATTCCATGCCAGGCTCCGCTGTTATACATAGACTTGTTTGTCGAGAACTAGAATATCCAAGCATGCCGGAGTGAGCAGGGAGACCCTGCCATCATAGAAGGAGTGAGTTGGGAGAGCGACTTACAGCCCAACCCTCATTGGCCCTACAAGTAGCACTTTGCAATCGAGTGTCGACAGGGATGACAGTTCGCGGAATAGCCTAAGCGAGATGTTTCGGCTAGGTACTAGACAGCGCTCCCAGTCCCAGAAGAAAGCAAGCACCCGGCAACGGAGAGTCACAAGGACTCGCTAGGAACATCGTATCTGCTGTGCCCTCGTCGCTCGGGGCGCGTTGTATCTAGTAAAAAGCACGACCTGTATACCAGAACCCAACTGGCTGGGTCAGGCAGTGAGATCGAGCTAAATTCGTTGGGTTTGAAGGAAATCCCATGCACGCCTTGAGTTGTCCATGTCCCGAGCTGTAAGCATCGTACCACAGCAAGCGTCAGGTCATGAGATATCCGATCTTTCGGCACCAGTATTGCTCAGTGCCTACACCGTGGTTGACAGCCGACACGACCCAGGATCCTCCAGTGCCAATTTCCATCCTGAACAGTGAAATGAGATTCGCCAATTATCATGCCTGTAACTTGCTAGCTGATAATCCACTGTTATCCGGGCAACATAGCTGTTCACCATATCAAGTCCAGTCTCTCGCTGTGTAATGTAATCTTGATAGCTGAATAGACTATCCATTTCTTCGGACTTTCCCCGCACTATCTCCGGACTCCAGAGTGATGGTTGTGAACCGGAATTCACCGAAACTATACCTGCCCCGTTTGCCACTGGGGGAAAGAGTCTGCCCCGTTGACAAAGGTGGTCCCATAGCAAGGGTCAGTGGTATCTTGGACGAGACACGCCGTAGTTATATTGCATGACCGCTGATATTCTCCGCCTGCAAGAGTGTGTCAATGCAAACTGGGTAGAGTCGAGACCATCGCACCATTGCCAGCCCTTGGCTGCATGAGTGCCAAATCATGTGATTTAAATCACTCATCGGTCCTCTTGAAAAAGGTTGATTCGACGCTTCTTGCGTATTTGCCTGCTCATTTCAGTTCACGTTTGACAAAGATACATGGTCTTGTATACTAAAACGTCCCTGATCGCTTCCGGGACAGTTGACAGAGCACTGCGCCCTTAGTCATATAAGTTCTGTGTAGCTAGGATGTGCTGTACCGACCGTATCTCGGCCAGTGTCTTTCTTTTTGCTTTTCTTTATTTTCGCTGCATCTAGTAAATCATATGAGTCCTGCAGATGCCTTCTGTGCTGAAAGAAAGGTTTCAGTCGAATGAGAATGGCTTGATCCATCCATGGAATTTTCTTGATCTCTCATCGTCAAATGTACATGGAATAGGATTTGTCACTTGCTTTTCGTAGGATTTACCCTTCATGAAAAGGACGGGCACACTTCGACTTCATCTCAACGAAGCAAGGACACGATGGAGGGCCATGGATCTCCCGGCAGATGTGAAGGGAAGAATGGAGTCCCTAGGTAGGTTGAATGCATGGCGGGCCCATCACATGACCGGCATCAATTCTACATGGGCCGCAGACCCCACCCATGCAGGTCACAATACCCGTATGCATCATTATGGAACCCATTCCTTTCAAAACTATCATTACGGTTCATCTATGTGCCATTGATTCGAGCAAAATAAGACAGGCAATAGTATCTTAAGCCCAGGAAGAATAGTAGTTAGCACCCCTCAAGCCCCGGTAGACGTAGTTACAAAGCATGTGGATGGCCCAGAGACATCGCCGAGAGGTGTCATGCAAGAATCGTGATGACGACCAGATTAGACATAGATACCCATGTTGGTGTCCTTCTTCTTTGCCTGGACTTCCGAAATGGCATCAACGTAGTTTTCGTGACCTACCTTGCTCATGCCTTTCCGGAGAGCGATCATACCCGCCTCCACGCACACGGCCTTTAGCTGAGCACCGCCAAACTCGTCGGTACTGCGTGCCAGTTCCGCCCAGTTGACTCGGTCATCAACAGCCATCTTGCGGGAATGGATCTGCAGGATGTTGGCTCTCGCCTCCTCGTTGGGCAGGGGAAACTCGATCTTGCGGTCCAGACGACCGGAACGGAGCAGGGCTGGATCAAGGACGTCGACACGATTCGTGGCCGCGAGGACCTTGATACGATCGTCTGATGCAAATCCATCGAGCTGGTTGAGAAGTTCAAGCATGGTTCGTTGCACTTCACGGTCACCAGACTTCTCCGAGTCGAACCGCTTGGTACCGACCGCATCCAGTTCGTCAATGAAGATGATAGAGGGTGCCTTCTCCTTGGCAAGGGCGAAGCAGTCGCGAACGAGCTTGGCACCGTCACCAATGAACATCTGCACCAATTGCGGACCGGCAAGCTTAAGGAACGTGGCGTTTGTCTCTGCCGCACAGGCTCGGGCGAGGAGGGTTTTACCCGTACCGGGAGGACCATACATCAGAGCACCTAAGAAAAACGCGTTAGAGGGCCCATGCTAGGATGGGGAGTCGAACGACTACATACCTTTCGGTGCTTTGATGCCAAGCTTCTTGAATCTGTCGGCCTCCTTCATAGGCCATACAATAGCCTCGACGATCTCCTCAATCTGTTTATCCAAGCCGCCAATGTCGGTGTACTTCTCCGTCGGCTTCTCATCGACCTCCATGGCCTTCACACGGTTGTCGTACTCAGCGGGTAGCGTATCCAGAACCAGGTATGAATCCTTGTTGACGCCGATGAGGTCGCCGGGCTTGAGCTTCTCGTGATCTACCAGACCAATAAGCGGGAGGTAGATCGTCTGACGGGTCGACGTCTTGATGACGGCCGACTTGCCCACCCGGGTAGCATCAAGGTCGATGTTGGCCCCCTCTTCAGCAGCCTCAGCTTCAACATCCAGATCCAGCAGCTCGACGACGTTTCCGACAAGGTAGGGTAATTGCCTATCAGATAGACAGTCAGCAAATGACCGGGATTACGTCTTGCCACTGCGTTGAGCAGAAGGCCGGCGGATCGAAGCAATCGAGCTCGGAGCTTACCGGTTGTTCTCAATCTTCTCTTGGTTGTCCTTGACTTTCTCTCTCATCGTGTTTTGCTCGTGAGTCAACCGCTGGTATTCACTCTTCATTATACGCAGCTCGTTCTCCAGCATCCGCCGTCGCTTGACGATGTCCGCTGTGCTCGAGCCAAGGATCTCCTCGTCCAAGAGTCCATCGTCCTCATCTTTCTTGGAATCGGCGTCTTTCATCTCAGCATCCCCTTCGCCTTCGGGCTTCCTGCCGTCTCCGTTGCCATCGCCCTGGTCCTTCTTGTCTCTCTCCTCACGCTCAAGGTCGTCGAGATCTTCCAAGGTAGACATGGTGGCAAGTGAAATGTGGTCGTGAAAGGATAGGGAGGGTAGAGAGGAGAAAGGAATTCGAATCGGAGGGTTAAAGTGGTTGGTGGAAGGTGATGGTTGGGGAACTTGAGCTGTGTTGGAGTCGTGATGCTCTGAGCTCCGGCCAAACAACGTCAGCTGCCCTGCCTATGTCACGTGACCCATTACAAATAGCCCGGCGCGCCAACCACGCTCAGGGAGTTTCTTTAGGCCTGCTCTTTACGATACTTAGGTGTCTTCCATACTATGTACATGATACCAAATCGGATGCCTCCCCACCAGCCTGGGCACCACACCCATACGAAACGATTGGCTAAAGGTAATAATGCGGGTTTTCCGCGTGCAACCGAGCATTGCCGATGTTTTTCAGGACCTCTTCGCGGCCGAACTTGAGAAGACGATACCGTGAAATGAAGTCATCATTGTTGACTGGTCAAGGTCAGCATATTGGTTTCTCCAAATGGACATAGTGGGAAGCCGGTCGAACAGACGCAGCATGAAGAAGCAACGGGATACTCACCATAGCCCCCGCACATCCTGCGCTTTCCTGTGAATTCCGAGCGACCGTGAAGCATTCTCCAATTGTCGAAAACTTTTAAAAAGATCAGTTCGGAATCCATGAATGGCGTTCCCCGCAAAGACTTACTGAGAGCCGTCCCCGGTTCAAGCTGTGTCCAGATTTCCATGTCCTTACGACGAATGATTTCGTTCCAGTGTCGTGCCGCAGTGTACCATGCAGTCTGTTGTCCGTAATTCCAGTCACTCTTGGCTGCCCGGTCATAGTTGTTCCAGCGAACCTGATACAGCCGTTTTAGCTCAGGGTGATGCTTAAGGACCGGGGCTTGCTCCGCAGGTTGTATACATGTCTCCTCGTTGCCACTCGAGTGGTAAGGTTGGCGCGTTGACATTAATGCTTGGAGATCCTGCGGGTGCTCGTCACGCAAAACGGAAGCAGCCCGGAATCCATCTACAAGTAGGCTAGCCCCGCCATCACCATCGGTATGGGATAGCAGGTGGAAGAGCTGAAGTCTGGCAGGGTCGGTAAAATACGTATTGTCTGTATGCGCACCGAGAAATTCTGTGGTATAGGCGGTATCCTTGTAGGTCAAGTCGGCCGTGAAATCCCAGAATCCACCTTCACATCCAGAACGAAGTTTTAGAAAGCGCCGCACAGAAAAGGTAGGGTTGATTTCTTACCGTAATGCGTGTTTCTAATGAAAGCAATCCTTTTGATAAGGCTCTCGGTTGATTCCGGGTTGACAGGAACTCCTTGGACAAAGGAAAATCCCCAGTCGTACTCCGCAGCATAAGCAGGTATTCCCGGTCGGGGTAACAGAGACATAACTTACTATAGCTTCAAGCCAATTAAGCAGAGCCCCGTCATCAGCCATAATCTCGGCATAGGAGAAGGTTGGAAATGTGTTGACTCTGCCGGGGATATACGATTTGGTCTCTCTAAGTAAAGTCAGTACCATACCAAGGACAATTACTGCAACTCAGATTGAGGTACCTGAAGATAAGCTTCAATTTCTTCTTAGGGCTGTTGAATTTATGGTTGGTATGGCTCCTGAGCCAAGGGAATGGATAGTAGGCATGGTGTCCGTCCGACCCTACGTGGAATCAGAGCCTAATCAGACTGTCGGATAATACTGAACTTACATTCTATTTCCAAACCTTCCGACCCGTAAACGAGATTCTTGATGCTGATATCCTCAGGTATCTGCCATGAAATTAATATTCAGTTACAACCATGGAATTATGCTGTTCTCCTACCGCGAAAGTATCAACAATCCGTTGTCTTGTATCAGGATGGATGCACTTGGAGCATTGGCAGTTATCCCTGGGTATGGGTTAGTGGCTATGCACATGCATGATACTGGCTCTTGAAGTATGTGCCCACCGAAGCCAGAACGTTCCACTGTGACCTAACATCAGTACGTGATTCGAACCATTCCATAGACTCCCTTACAAACGCCCATAATGACCCGCATGGCCTAGTGTCAGTGACTGCCACTTGGAGTTCTCCAAGTGCGCTGGCCAGGGATTTTCGCTCTCACTTGCAGAGCGAGAGCCCCGCGCCTGTTTTGCAACAGATGAATTTGCACGCAGTAGCGCAGGGTAGCGAGCAAGACCGGATGATGCCTGATTAGGCTTTATGACCGATGCATTCCGAAAGTCAGGATTACAAGGTACTGTGTAGCTTCGTTGATCTGCCTCTTACCAATCCATATCTCCGGGTAAATGATGACACGCAATGCGATGTGCTAGCACCTCGATCAATTAATACCTGATATATGCAAGAAAGCTCTGAGGATCCTACCTAGATTGCTTCAAGGGACTAAGCGCCCTAAGAAAGGAGAGCCTGGTCATTTTAGGCGTGTTCTCTCACATACACCAAGCGATGACACTTGAGGATGGAGACACTGTTTCTCCGCAAGAACCCCATATCAGGCCCATGTCACGTGTGACCTGTTCTCGGCCTCGGGCCGCAATTCAGAGCGTATCCTTGGCGGATAGATCTCGAAAGCTCCATCTTGATAGCTACCTTTGTCTCCAGTTTACATTGCGGGATTATTGATATCTGAGCACGTATATTGATTTATGAACTCTCCTGCCTACGATCTATAGCTAGACAACAAGGCCAATTATAGCTTGCTTCTCGGACCAGTAACCTTCATCAGACAGCGACCATTGCTCAGAACCGCCTTGCCCTTATCATTCTTAGTTATGAACCTGATCTCTTCGTAGCCGTCTTGAACGTTGCCAATCCTCCACATCTCAGTGATCAGCTTGTCACCGGGTCTGACCGGTGAAGCAAACCGCGCTTGGATTTCTTTGAGGTTCTTCGGGTCACTACCGCCAAGCTCTCTCAGAACACCGTGGGCGGCAGAGTTCCAACTGAAGAGCCCATGGATAATGGTACCCCCGAAGCCCATCTTCTCACCCGGTTCAGGAGTAGCATGGAGAGGGTTGTAGTCCCCATTGAGCCTAACCGAAGGTGTCAGTATTCAAGGATCCACCTTTCCCACGGCGCTAGCACTAGTCTTACCGATAAAGATGAGCTGTCTCCGTAGTTGTTTGAACTATATGGACAGCATCTGGCTTTCGGTTTTCTGGCGGCGCATAGTTTACGTTGCTGGGGCCTGTAAAATAATCGAGTCAGTGATGATACTACATGGACGAAAAAAAATAAGGCGCATTGATAGCCTTGCCTTTTGGACCACCCCAGTTACCCTGACCCACGAAGAAACCGCTGCTCTCAGTCCTAGAGTAGACCTCACCCGTGCCCTTTTCAACTATAGTCTGCTCCGTCTCAACCACGGTACCGGGCTTGCCCTTATCGTAGACTCCAATGACCTTGTTGCGCAGCTCGAATTCCTTACCCGCACTGGTGGGAGGGAGGGGCTTGAGGATAGTGAGCTTGCGCTGGCCGTCAACAACGCGGCGATAGTCAAATTTAGGGACACCAGGAATAGGAGAACCTCCGGAGCGTGCATAAAAGTCCGTCACTTCTTGATCTGTAAGTTTGAACGCTATATGGAATACGGTATTAATAGCTTTTCATCGAATAGAAAGCGTCGTACATACGAAGGATAACAGGATATGTGGGAAAGACCGCGAAGTTTGGATGAAGCTCCTATGCATTGATCAGTAGGTTTAAGGGTAATTGGTGCAATCCCGAACAACACACGTAGAGAAAGTGTAGTTCATCGGCTTTGCAACCGAGACTGTTTGCAAAAAGCAGGACGTCGCGCTTCTGCCAAGACACCTCCTGGCGAGGGAATTCATGACCGGCTCCTGGGGTCGACATTATGGAAAGATGACAATTGAGCGCAAAATATCCCGAGATATGGGGACTACGAGTTTACGAAGGACGCCCCTTTATGCGGAGGTAACCACCCCAGGCAACTACTAGTACTAGGTGGTACAATCCGTTGCGGGGCTGCGGTCAAACCGAGGCTCGATGCCGGATCAACCGCTTTGGCCGAAAATCACATAATTAATGATCAAAGGCCTTGCCAAGTCCGCTAATACGAAAACGGATCTCCCCGGATTTATCGATCAGTCAAGGCATCAATGAGACGAAGTGTTGGAGTCAGTCGGACTTCGTAAAATTAAGCGATAAGTTAAGTAATGCATAGAGAGAACGTCGGAGGTGTTAGACTGAGCATCGACTCGGGGTATCTACTTGGAAAATTCGAGGAGCTTCATAATCGTCCTGGTGGAACCATCTCTCCGTACCGCGCCAACTGGTAATGCCGTTTCCTTGCCTTCCGTAAACAACGCCGAAAAATGATGAGAAGAAATGGCATGACAGAAATAAACAAGTCAAAGAACCTTGCATCGACCCGACGTCCACACAAGCGAACTTCCGTTAAGATGCTATGCTGCCCACAAGGCAGAACCCTTATGTTACTGACAAGATATAAATCGACTCCCAAGCCGGACGGCAGAACAGCCGAAAGAACAATAGATGCGCAAGAATTTAGCACCTTCGAGGGTTAGTAGACATCACTAGCGGCAAGGACAAATACTCACATCCTGTAGAAGCAGCTGCCCTCGGAAGCACGGTTCGGGTCCGTGGTCTCGAACTTGTAGGAGATGCTGATGTCGAGATCGCGCTTGTTCTTGTCATTGGGCTTGTTCTCCAAGACACCAGAGACAACTTCCTCCTCCTCGACGGTCAGAACATCGCGCAGATAGAAGACAGTTTGCTTCCAGTGGGTGTATTTGGCGTGGGGACCAGTCGAGAAGGTAATAGGCTTATGGCATGCGCCAAATTCAATATCGAACCAAGCAATCACTGCGTGGATGAAGTCGCTGCGCTTCGCAGGAAGCTTAAACGGAACCTTGAAGACCAAATCGGCCGTGGTAACAGTGTAGAGATCAAAAGTGATAATGGGGCAAGGGTCGGTGACGAGTGCCTTCATCTCGACGGTATCAACAAGGGGCTCGGTAAGGGCAATCTCCTTCATCGGGCTGTAATTGAACCCGTACACGTTGTCCCAGACTAGACAAGATTAGCGTTCCAGATTGTCCAAAAATCGAATCCGACAAACGAGGGTGCTTACATCCAATCTTGTCATCTTTGTACTCGCCATCCTCGATAGCGGCCAAGTACATGGTGGCCTTATCGGGGAAAATCTTGCCACCAGGGACAAGGTAATGGTCGCGAGCGTACAGAACGGTATCCAACATGCTCTCATAGAGCAGGAAATAGCCCATCCACTCAGAGATGATGATATCGACCTTGGGGTAAGGAAGGACAACTTCCTCCATCTTTCCCTGGAGCAGGGTGATCTTGTCGGACAAGCCGTTGGCAGCAACGATCTCACGGGCCTTCTCAATGATCGATGACATATCAACACCCATCACATGCTTAGCACCTGCCTTAGCGGCGAACCTATCAAGCCAGAGGCATCAGTGACCTGTTTCTCGACCGGTCGGCCAAGTCGAACACATACATGCTGAGAATACCGGTTCCGCAGCCGACATCGAGGACGACCTTATCCTTGAAAATGTGACGGTTCTGGTAGATAGAGTCACGGTAGGATCTAGTGCGAACATCGTCTTTCTATCGAGATCATGTGTGGTTAGTGAGAGAAGGGGCGCTGGGGCAGGGCTCCGACTTACGAGCATCTCCTCATGAATGCCTAAGCGGGGTTCGAGATTAGCCACATCCAACTATGCTCCTTGGGCAGTATTTACCATGGTGATCATAACTATGATCCTGGTCAGCATAAAGAACACCAAAAAATCCTCATGCTTTCATCTTACCTCGTGAAATAACGCACTTCGGCGTGGTCCATGCCGACCATGCGATCAGCGCTGCTGCTGGTCATCGCAGCAGACTCTGATTGCTGTCCCTGTCCGGACATATTGACGGATCAGTTGTCTGTGGTAGCTGAAGTGAAATGGAGACTTGTGTATGACCAAAGAGTAAATAAGTCAGATGAAGGAAATTGGAGAGAGAATAACACTATATAAAAGATGTTATGGAGAAAAGATATAAGCGCCTCAAAGATCCCTTCGAGCGCGGCGGTCCTCTTTTTTTTTAACTTTTGCCCTCTTAGGAATTTCTCCTCTCGAAGGCAACAGGCGCTAAGCACCGATAAGGTTAGCTTATCTTATCGCGCGCTAATCCCGATTTGGCTTACAGCATGTGACCTAGCAGCCCTTTGTCTTGGCTAGGGCTATTGTCGGTATGGCTGGTACCAGTTGGTGGTTCATCTTGAAGATAAGAACGGATCCAAATGCCAAGCTGTTCCATGATTATTGCCGCGCGATGTCAACTCCGCCCCCGCCGGAGCTACACGCCGCCTGTCTAGCATTGAGGCGTTTTACTACTCCTGAAGCTCACTTGCTCGACTGATTGCCATACAACAAACACGGAAAACATCATGGCTATAGGGACGACAAGGGGGAAAACATACTGGTGCTTTCTTTTCCTCCTTCTCGCGGCTTTTGTTGGAAAGTCGACTGCCTCCCTTGGTGACCATCTTCCCGACTTCAAAGAATGCGTCAAGGTACATCCAGGACACGATAATCCGACAAAACAGAGCCAATGACTAAGAAGCGAACAGGTTTGCCAGGCTGAGAACTGTCAAGATGGAAACTCAGTTATTCGTGAGCTCCAATTCACCGGTCCCTATTGCTTAAGTCGCTAACCGATTTGCTATTAGCTATTCACCTCCGCCTCATGTTGTGGACGTGTCCTTCCGAATGCGATTACACCTGCCAGCATGTTGTGACGGACCGCCGGGTCGCTCGTGATCCTCCGATGCTGAACCCAGTATTACAATTCCATGGTAAATGGCCGTTCCGCAGGATCCTTGGGATGCAGGAACCGTTTTCCGTTCTTTTCTCGTTCTTCAACTTTGCCGCCCATTGGCATGGAATCGGACGACTTCGTGAGACTGTTCCCTCTTGGCACTCCCTACGGTCATACTACATCGCTTTCGGATACTGCGGTTTAGCATGCTGGACGTTCAGCATGTTATTCCACACGCGAGACCTATCCTTGACCGAAAAGTTGGATTACTTTGGGGCAGGGGCTAATGTGATGTATGGGCTATACCTTGCGATCCTTCGAATCTTCCGCCTGGACCAAGAGGAGCCTAGACACAAACCAACTTTGCGTCGTCTGTTGACTACGGTTTGTGCTATTCTATACACTTTGCATGTGTGCTACCTCAGCTTTTGGTCGTGGGACTACACCTACAACATGATTGCAAACATCGTGATAGGAATGGCCCAAAATGTCCTGTGGGTGGGTTTCAGTATTTATCGTTATCGCAAGTACGGCAAGGAATGGATGGCCTGGCCCGGAATGATTGTGGTCTGGATTATCTTGGCGATGAGCCTTGAATTACTGGACTTCCCTCCCTGGCATGAGCTGATTGATGCGCATAGCCTTTGGCATTTGGGAACCGTGATCCCAACTGCATGGTGGTACTTGTAAGTCTATGTTGAACTGACCTAAGACTAGTGCACGGCTGACGGCTGGTAGATTTCTCATCAGGGACATTCAGAACGATGTAGCGGGTGAAAGGCTGAAAGCCTGATCGAGCCCATCAACCCGTCACATTGCACGGTCCTTGGCCCTCCAGGTGACCATTTCGCTTGTATTATATAATAGAGTCAACAGCCCCAACCAACTATCCAGCCAACCACGAATAGATCTACATAGTACTCTAATATCAAGGATCAATCTAATAGTAACAACAATCGCTAACCGCTCACTATATATTCAGTACATACCATAGATAGTCATCCTTCTACTCCTTTCCCTCCGCTTCTGGTGTCCATCATCGCACCACGCCATCGCCATGTTGCGGATGCCTCCCTGCTCACCGCTCACCGCTCGGAACGGGACCTTTGTGGCAGTACAGGGGCAGGGGCAGGAGCTAACCTGAGCTGGTCGGGCGTGTCTCACCCACCCACTCTTCTACCACTCGCTCGGCCCTGCCTTTTGACCCCTCCCTTCTTTTTTTTGGCCCTACCACTTTCTCCCTATACTATACTCTTCCCCGGACTTCTTGAGCCTCTGTTTCTCAAGGTCTTTTGGTGCCATCCAACATCCCTTTGGTCTAGTTCGCGCCACAATGGCGTCCCCGGCTATCAAAAAAGCGATCGCTGAAGCGGCATCGCAGTACGCAAAGCCCGAAGGGAAGATCTTTCAGTATGGTACCGCAGGGGTAAGTCCTTAGTTCTGGGGCCTTAGTTCTGGGATATGGGTCTCTGTCATCTTAGAAATAGAATATACTGATCGCTTCCCTTGCTTGCAGTTCCGTATGAAGGCGTAAGTTGCTCCCTGCGATAAACACCTCGAAGGATCGACCCCGCCTCCACAGTACCCCGCGACCGCCCTTTTGTTCACCCTTTAACCAACGTCTTGCCAGTGACCTTCTCAACACGGTGGTCTTCACTGTCGGTTTGCTTGCAGGTCTTCGTTCTAAGAAGCTTAGTGGACAATGGGTTGGTGTCATGGTCACTGCCAGTCACAACCCCGCGGAGGACAATGGTGTTAAGCTAATTGATCCCATGGTGAGTCGCTGCGGACCTCGATAACTTGAAATACTTGGTGATGTACTGAATGGCTGAACTTGAGTAGGGTGAGATGTTGGAGGTAAGGCATTAGGACAACGAATCCCCGGAAAGCAACAACTTAACTTACGTCGGTGTAGGCCGAATGGGAAAGTTATGCTACCAGACTTGCCAATGCTCCACTCGACAAGATTGGCGATGTCTACGACGAACTCATCAAGGAAATCGATGTTAGCATGGAAAACCCAGCTCGTGTCGTCTTCGCTCGTGACACTCGTGCTTCCGGCTCGCGTCTTGTGTCAGTCATCAATGCCGCGCTTACCGCTTCGGAGGTCGAGTTTATTGATTTCAAGTACATGACCACTCCTCAACTCCACTATGTCGTTCGCTGCAAGAACACTTTGGGCACTCAATATGAGTATGGTGAGCCCACGGAGCAGGGCTACTATGAGAAGCTTGCCGAGGCTTTCAAGCGAGTGATGCGTGGTGTCAAGGTCAAGGGCTCGTTGACTGTGGATTGCGCTAATGGTGTCGGTGGACCCAAGCTCAGAGAACTTATCAAGTACCTGCCCAGTGCTGAGGAGGGTGGTCTTGATATCAAGGTGGTCAATGATGATGTTATCAACCCTGATAGCCTGAACTTCGAAGTAAGATGCCCACGGTTTTGGCATACTCCCTGTCTGCATACTGACTTGCTTCCAGTGTGGTGCCGACTACGTGAAGACGAAGCAACGTGCCCCGCCATCTTCCAAGGCAGCTGTTCTCGACCGCTGCGCCTCGCTGGACGGTGATGCTGATCGTATTGTCTATTACTTCATGGATGAGAGCAACACTTTCAGACTGCTTGATGGTGATCGCATTGCCACCCTTGCCGCCTCTTTCATCGGCGATCTTGCGCGGAGCGCTGGCATTGCGCAAAAACTCAAGATCGGCGTTGTCCAGACTGCCTATGCCAACGGTTCCAGCACGGATTACATCGAAAAAGTCCTGAAGCTGCCCTCTGTTTGCACCAACACTGGAGTCAAGCATCTGCACCACGCGGCCTTGCGCTTTGACGTTGGCGTTTACTTCGAGGCCAACGGCCATGGCACGATCACATTCTCCGAGAACGCCTTGAAGACCATCAAGAACACCGAACCCCAGTCCCCTGCTCAGAAGCGCTCGCTTGAGTGTCTTCAAGCTCTCACCGACCTGATTAACCAAGCGGTCGGTGATGCCATCTCTGACATGCTCCTTGTCGAGGCCATTCTTTCCCACAAGGGATGGAGCCCCAAGGAGTGGCTTGCCACTTACACCGACCTTCCCTCGCGCCTTGTTCGTGTGGAGGTTGCGGATCGCTCGATCTTCAAGGCTTATGATGCTGAGCGTAAGCTGGAGTCCCCTCCGGGCCTCCAGGCGAAGATTGAGTCCCTGCAGTCTCGTTACAACAAGGGAAGAAGTTTTGCTCGTGCGAGTGGCACAGAAGACGCGGTGCGTGTCTATGCTGAAGCAGCAAGCCGGTCTGAGGCGGACGACCTTGCTACCCGTGTCGCTAATGCCGTTCGCGAAGCTGGCAGTGTCAAGGAAACATTGTCTGCTTGAACCACTGGCTAGGCTGCTCCAAATGCGAAATCCTTTTGTCTAAAGAGGGAACGGATATCCCCCGTGAAACCCGAAGAGATGTGAGCTGTCCGAACAGGAAGCCTCTGTTCTGCTTCACGAGCAGCATGGAAACTTTATGAATGAATTTATGATACTTAGTTTAATCCGCATTGAAGCAAAAGAATTTGCATTTGGCTGTGTCCCATTTCCCATTTCACTTGAGCATTTAGTTGATCATGAACCCATCTGGATAGCCATGAAACATCTACACAGTACACGTGAGCGAACAATCATCATTTTGGGTATTAACATCGTAAACTGTAGCGCTAAGATTCAACTCTCGCATCTTTAACCCTCCTCGTGATCCATCTCATCCCGAGACCGCTTGCCGAATTTCTTTCCTTTAGTTCCCTTTTTCTCATTATAGTTCTTCATCTCCATGATCGCCTGCCGCTGTGCCTCGGCAACATTTTCACCAAGCACCATAACCTCGTCCTTGGGGCAGTCGTATTCGTTGAGCTTCTTGCCCAGAGCGCCTTCAATGCGCAGCCAGACCTCGACATCATACTGGGCCACAAAACTGATGGCAAGACCACTCTTTCCGGCACGAGCGGTTCGTCCAACACGGTGGACGTAGCTGGGGGAGTCTAATTCAAGAGTCAGTCAATCCAGTCGGAGGAATCTAATTATAATTGACCAGTCAGGGGAAACATACCACTCGGCAAGTCGTAATTCAAAACAACATCAACGGACGGAATATCCAGACCACGCGAAGCCACGTCCGTCGCGACCAGGATATCCCGACTACGGGAACGGAACTTGCCAAGGGCGCCGAGGCGCGCGGACTGCGACAGCTGTCCATGTAGCGGGATGGCGCCGAAACCGAGCGCACGGAGCAAGAATGCGATGCGCTGGGTCTCATTCACGGTGCGCGAAAAAATGATTGCCGATTTTCCGGAAAATTCGTTCAACAGGTAGACCAGGTACAGGTCCTTGTGCTTTTGGGGGATGAAGAGGTAGGATTGCTGGAGGGTTGAGACCGTTTGGTATTTGCTTGTGGAGACGGCGACGCGGATGGGGTTGGAGAGGGAGGCGCGTTGTAGCGATTCAACCTTTGAGCTCATGGTCGCGGAGAAGAGGAAGGTGCGGCGCTCGCGGGGAAGCACTTTGAGGATTTTGTCCAGGAGAGGGCCGAAGTCCATGTCGAGGAGTCGGTCGGCTTCGTCCATGACGAGGTATTGGAGTCGTGAGCAGCTGAAGCCCTTGGTGTTTTCGAGATGGTCGAGGAGTCGACCGGGGGTGGCCACGATTATGTGAGGTTTCTTGCCTAGGGCGATCTGTTGCGAGGTCATGTCCATGCCTCCGACGATTACCGCGCAGCGGGCGTTGATGGTTGAGCCTAGGGCCTCGAAGGACTGAGAGATCTGGTAGGCGAGTTCACGGGTCGGGGCCAGAATGAGGCCGAACAGGGGTTGGGGCTTCTCCATCAGGGCTGTATAGAGGCGTTAGTTGTTGGTTCTGGAGAGTGGGACAATGCGATGTACCTTGTAGGATGGGAAGAGCAAAGGCTGCCGTCTTTCCACTACCGGTCTCAGCGAGACCGATCACATCTCTCCCCTGCAATGCGATTGGGATGGCCTCCGCCTGAATCGGCGTGGGATTCTTGAACCCCATAGTATCGCAGGCTTCGCATAGCTGGTCGATAATTCCGAGTTCCCTGAAGGTCTTTGGGCGTTGGGTTTCCTGAGCCGGCTCTGGGGAGGAGGCTTCGACCTCGCGGTCGGGCGCAGGTGCCGGAGCCTCGCGAGCGACCTTGCGCTTCTTGACGGCGGACATGATTGCGTGAATTGACTGGATTGATCGTGGTGGTGGTCGACATCATCGCCAGAAAAATATAATTTTGGGCGCCGCAAAATCGTTGATCCGGGCTCCTCCGCGGCTTTGCTCCGCCATACTTTTTCTTCGGGTCAGAAAAAAGTCCTGTCCTGCTCCAGCCTGTTGGGAAGATCCGTCCGGAGTGATTGATTGTTCCCCGGTATTTTTTTTGATCTTCACGCCTTTGTCACCATGGCCAAGGCACGTACCAAGAAGCGCACTCATCTGCGCGCGCAAAATGCCACGGCTGCTGCCAAAGGCGGCGCCGCATCTATGAGCAAAACCCCCAAGTCGATGGTTATCCGTGTTGGGGCTTCACAGGTTGGTTCTAGTGTGAGCCAGTTGGTTAAGGATGTGCGGACTATGTTGGAGCCGGACACGGCCGTGAGACTGAAGGTAGGTTTGCGTTGTGTGTTTCTGTGGTGAAGTATGCTGATAGTCATGACCTCTAGGAACGCAAATCTAACAGATTGAGGGATTACACAACTATGACTGGCCCCCTTGGTGTCACACATCTTCTTCTCTTCTCGAAGTCAGCGACCGGAAACACGAACTTGCGCCTGGCGCTTACGCCCCGGGGTCCGACATTGCACTTCCAGGTGGAAAACTACTCCCTATGCCGAGATGTTGAGAAAGCATTGAAGCGCCCGAGAGGCGGCGGTCAGGACCACAAGACTCCTCCTTTGCTGGTCATGAACAACTTCAACTCCCCTAATGCCACTGAGGACTCCAAGGTGCCTAAGCGTCTGGAGAGTCTCACGACGACTATCTTCCAATCCCTCTTCCCCCCGATCAACCCTCAAGTCACTCCTCTCACCTCCATCCGCCGTGTCATGCTCCTGAACCGTGAACTCGCCCCCGAAGGCGAGGAAGAAGAGTCTTATATCCTGAACCTCCGTCATTATGCCATTACGACGAAGAAGACGGGTGTTTCGAAACGCATTCGTCGTCTTGATCCAAAGGAAATCCGCACCCGGGAGAAGAAGGGAGCTGCTGTGCCCAACCTGGGTAAGCTGGAGGATGCAGCAGATTACCTGCTGGACCCGTCCGCTGCTGGCTACACCTCTGCTAGTGAAACAGAAATGGACACCGATGCGGAGGTCGAGGTGGCGGAGAGCACTACGAGAAAGGTCCTGTCGAAGCGTGAACTGCAGCGTATGAAGGCCGGCGAGAAGGAGAAGGCGCAGAAGAAGCTGAGCAACGCTCCGGAGGTCGAGAAGCGGGCGGTCAAGCTGGTTGAACTGGGCCCTCGCCTGAAGCTTCGCCTGCTCAAGGTTGAAGAAGGCCTCTGCGAAGGCCGGGTGATGTGGCACGATTTCATCAAGAAGTCCGAGGATGATGTCAAGAAATTGGACAAGAACTGGGACCAGAAGAAGAAGGAGAAGGAACAGAGGAAGAAGCAGCAAAAGGAGAACATTGAGAAGAAGAAGCAAGCAAAGGCTCAAGCCAAGGCCGAAGGAAAGGAGGTGGAAGATGACGACGACGAGGATGATGTTGATATGGACGATGATGAGTGGCTCAGTGACGATTTCGATGAAGATGAGAATGCGGAGCAGGAGGATGAAAGCGAGGAGGAAGACGAGGGTGAGGGTGAGGACGAGGACGAAATGGAGGAGTAAACGGGCACTATTCATCACCTTGAAATTCCCAGTGTCAAGCAGTCTAGCCCAGCTGCTACATCAACATACCACTACCTTGCTCCTGCCATCGAGCCATCAAGCCGGGCTAATGCGCGTGAAGCTGGAATGGTGACTAGTTACAATCATCGTGATGATCCCTGCGATGGCGAACAGGACTCCTGCCCATTGGTGCTGGAGTTCGGATGGCCATGGACGACGAGGATTGAGTTATTCCCGACTGGATGAGAACATTGCGAGTCAGGACCGGAAGTCACTCGGGCGTTTACCAGACCAGTCATGACCGTTAGGAGTACCAAAATATACCCAAATCCTGCCTATTACAAACACGTATCCAGCAAACCCCTTAATTAATAACCCCTTCCCCCTCCACTACAATCCGGAAATCAATCAATCAATCACCTCTTCAACTTCTCCTCCACAATCCTCTCCACCATCTTCTCCAACATCTTCATATCCCCACCACTCGTCGTCCCAGCAAAATACCCCTGCACACTCTTCTCCACGTACTTGCCCACAATATCAATCTCAACATTCACCCACTCCCCAGCCTTCTTCTTCGCCGTAACAATCTTCTCCTGCGTATACGCAATAAGCATAACCTCAAAGAACCCCTCCGGCCCATCCACCACCTGCGTGACCGTCAAACTGGCCCCATCCAGCGTCACATATCCCTTCTCAACGATATACCGCATCACGCCCTGATCGCGCGGCTGCAGCCGGAATACCAGCGCATTGCTATCCGGCGTCACGGAGAGGATCTGCGCGATGGTGTCGACATGGCCTTGCACGAAGTGGCCGCCCATGCGCGTTTCGCCGAGCACAGCGCGCTCGAGGTTCACGGGGGAGTTGGTGACCAGGGAGCCGAGATTCGTCCGGCGGAGGGTTTCGGGTGCGACGCCGACTTTGAAGGACGTGGGGCTGAAGGCCGTTACGGTGAGGCAGGTTCCTGGGGTGTTGTTAAGTGATGGGCGGCTTTTTATGCTTGGATGATAAATCAAATTGAAGGGAGGGGAACGAGGGGTAAAGAACTGCATAGAAGGGGAACAGAGGGGTAAAAAGGGTAGGTGACAAGGAATCAATTCAATGTAATCATACCATTCACAGCTATACTATCACCCAGGTGGACGTCCGTGAGGATCTCCTCACAATCGGTGATGGTCAAGGATGTGCCCCCGCCCCCGCTTGACGAGGTATCGAGGGGCTCGAGGGACGAGACCGCTGCAGAGACGCGCGCATGGCAATTAGTCTCATGGCTAATGGAGATATGATCGCAGGAGGAGGGACTCACTCCCGATTTTCTCAACGAGGCCAGTGAACATGGTGGTAATGTATTAAGAAGAATGCCGATCCGATGCGATACCGTGGAAGCGGGCGGATCGAGCGGTTGAAGATCGAGAAGAGAGCGGGAAGCGCTCGACCTCGGCTGAGGGGCGAGTCTTAGTACTACTCGGCGTTGTCCCCGAATGAGAGCTGCGCTTCTACTTGACATTATTTGGGAGTTGATTGGGATCTGGCTTTGTGCTCATTTACATTCACTTGGTAAAAAAATTCTATGGTTATTGTTGCATCTATTGTTTCTATGATTGATTTCATCTTCCCATTTCATCTGCGTTAAACCAGCGTTAATCAACATGAACCGCATGTCGGTATTGAAGCTCCAGCGGGCTTGTCTCGCCCGTCGACCGGCAAGCAGCATCCAACGTCCCCGATGGTACTCGTCGGCTGTTTATGATGATACCCTGCCTTTGAACGGCGTACGAGTCTTGGATATGACGAGAGTTTTGGCTGGCGTGAGTGGTCTCTTCTCTACAATGGAGGTGAATGTACTGACACCTGCCAGCCATACTGTACACAGATTTTAGGAGATTTGGGGTACGTTCCTTGGCCATTGACGACAGTAAGACTGTAATAGCTGATCTGGTGGTCTGACAGAGCGGATGTCATTAAAGTGGAACACCCCGTGCGCGGTGATGATACTCGGGCTTGGGGTCCGCCATACGCCAAGTACACCGACGGGTCAGAAGGTCCCGGCGAGAGTGCCTACTACCTTGGAGTAAGTTTATGCGCTATTCTGCACACCCATACTTCGTACTAAAGGAGTGAATTGACCGCAGTAGGTAAATCGCAATAAGAGATCAATTGGTCTATCCTTTGCCCACAAATCCGGGGTGGAGGTTCTACACCGACTGGCCAAGGAATGTGACGTTCTCGTTGAAAACTACCTTCCTGGTAGCCTCAAGAAATACAACATGGATTATGAGACCCTACACTCCATCAATCCTAAGCTGATCTACGCCAGTATCACCGGATACGGCCAAACCGGGCCATACAGCAACCGCGCGGGGTACGATGTCATGGTTGAGGCAGAGATGGGTCTCATGCATATCACGGGCAGCAGGGAAGGTGAACCGGTGAAGGTGGGCGTTGCTGTGACCGACTTGACGACGGGACTGTACACATCGAATGCGATCATGGCCGCCTTGCTCGCGCGGGCGAGGACTGGAAAGGGACAGCACATCGATGCGTGTCTGAGTGACTGTCAGGTTGCGACCTTGGCGAACATTGCCAGTTCCGCTCTGATCAGTGGCCAGAAAGATACAGGGCGATGGGGAACCGCACACCGTAAGTGATCCCATCATAGTAGAAAACCAGTGACTAACTATGTCAGCATCGATTGTACCCTACCGAAGCTACAAGACGCTCGACGGCGATATTCTGTTTGGAGGCGGAAACGACAGGCTATTCGGTGTATTGTGCGACCGACTCGGACACCCCGAATGGAAGACCGATTCTCGATTTGTTACCAATAGTGATCGAGTAAAACATCGTGGGGATATCGACGGCCTGATTGAGGAGACGGTGAAGCAGAAGACCACGCAAGAGTGGCTGGAGATCTTGGAGGGCAGCGGGATGCCTTATGCCGCAGTCAACGATATCCAAGGAACGCTAAACCACTCCCACGGTAAGCTCTCCGATATAACAGAGTCTTTAAATATCCTGCTGATAATATCTGCAGTCCAAGCACGGGGAATGGTCGCCGAAATCGATCATCCGACCTGTGGTCCGATCAAGTTGGTGAATACGCCGATCAAGTATTCGCACGCAACCCCTGGCATTCGGACGCCGCCCCCAACACTTGGGCAACATACGGAAGAGATTCTGGGGGAAGTGCTCGAGTATGGCAAAGACGAGATTGCGCGGTTGAAGCAGGAGGGCGTAGTAGCATAAAGCCGATCATATAGAGCTTAGTGAAACCCACCCAGGGTGGATTCCATCAAAATGGGCCGGGATCCGGGGTCCGAAAGGTCACGCATAATCCCTACATGGTTAGCTGGGTATAGCTAGCGGTGGTCCGCGCTGGAGTCACAATATATGAGGAGAGATAGATAGAACATAATAAATCATTGAATGTTGGCAGCCATGCTGTCGGAAGAGTGCTCTGGCATGGCGCTTCAATCGAGGCGCGGGGGATGGATTCCTCCCATCACGTGATGCTATATAAATCTGGATCCGTTCAGGATGACTTTCTCTTGTCGCACCCCAGCGACAGTCAAGCCTCCGGTGCAGTGCCGATTCGAGTCCGCTAAACCTACGGAGAGGGCGTGCACAGTGATCCAGACTGGGGATATGTCACCGCACAATGGGGCTCCTTCCTCCCTGGCGTCTATAGAAACAGCGCCTCCAACCCACGGAACGCTGCGTACCACCACTTCAGGTTCGCACCCACCAACTTCCTCGTCCAGCGCCAGCATTGGCCCCTCAGCAGTACATCCCCCGTCCATATCAACCCGGCCGCCGACTGTCCTCTCCAAGAGAGTCGAGATTCCACGACTCTCAGCGGCTACGGCCGAGTTACTGGCGCGAGTCACCGGGAATCTCAAAGGAGCGCAGAGAAATGATGATAATAAGTTCGTTACATGGACTCCACCTCCTGTTACTCGGACACTCGAAAACCAGAATAGCCGACAGAAGGGCAAGATGAGGGCGTCTTCTACAATCATCGAACTGCCTACGGCCCCGTTCGTGTACTCGAACAATGTGGCGCCACCTGCGGTTCCCCAGGCCTCCACAGCTCAGGGAAACACGGTCAAGCCGGTGGCTTTACACAACATCGCTCCTAAGCCAACAAGCACATCATCGGCCGCAGAAGCATCAGAGAAGATGGAGTCTCCAACTCCTACCGATATTGCTCGACAGCCAGCAAGGACATCGCCTGCTGCTGCATCAGTGCCACAATTGTCTGCAACGGGGTCATCAGAACCCACTCCTCTAATCAATGTCACTCCTAAACCAACAGTAATGCCATCAGCCAGTGCAGCGCCAGAGCATTCCGGGGCTCTAGCTCCAGCCAACATCCCTGCAAAGTCAATAGGGACGCCATCCATCATAGCATCAGCACCACAGCTGGTACCGGTGCCAACAAAGTCCACTGCACCGGCTAATATCGCTCCAACCCCCGCAGTGCCATCATCGGTTGGTGCGAAGCCGGCATCACCAGAGTTGCCGATACCAGGACAGCCACAGTCCGCCTCAGCGGCTAAAACTACATCCCCAGCAATTCCGGCTGCCAAGCCCAAGAAACCCGCAGCAACCAGCTCACGCCAACGGAAAAGCGCAACGAATGGCAACAAGCGCGGCAAAAAGCGCAGACGGAATAATGATAGCGACGGGGAAGATGTCATCAGGGCCGGAGACTCCAGTACTGACGAATCCGACGTTGCGCCGACGGCGACGCAAACCAAATCCGGCCGTCTGATCAACCGGCCTTCGTTATATGTGCCTCCACCATCTGCCCCTGTTGTAGCCAAGGATAATGTCTCACTGGAGGCGTCGGGTAATGCTCGTGGACAGACCGTCGCTCGAAAACGCAAGCGTATCCACCGCCGAGGGAAAGATGCAATCATCACTTGTCTACACTGTCAGAGGGGCCATAGCCCATCGAGCAACTCGATTGTGCTCTGCGACGAGTGTAATGCGGCCTGGCATCAGTTGTGCCATGATCCTCCCATCAACGCCGAGGTCATCACCGTGAAGGAGAAGGAATGGTTCTGTCAGGAATGCCGGCCCGTTCAAATTTCCATCGTCCAGCCGACCGTCGTTCGGAGCAATCCTAGCCTTACGACTGGGTTGCGAGGTCCTTCGTATCCTCCGTTGGTAGTGCCCAAGGCCGAGGTTGGCGCCGGGGAATATTCAACCGACGAGCGCCGAGGCTTCCTGTCGGGGCTGTCGCACGCAGCTCTCGTTGAGCTTCTTATGACGATATCAGACAATAACCCGATCTTACCGATGTTTCCTGAGAATATGCGGGAACAGCAGTCCTCGAAGTTCGCGTTCCGTCTGCCTATCTCCGACGTCCCCACTCCGTCGACATCTGTGTCGGGCAATGACACTGGGGACTCTACGGCTGCTTCCACCGAAGCGAACCAGAATGGGGACTCTGCGATAGACGTCACATCTTCCTCTACTCGGAGACATGAGGTCTCGGACGATGATTCGGAATATGAGTTCCAGGAGCACCGGCTGTATCCACGGGCTGGAAACGGATTCCGGCTCTCGCTCAATGTGGATGATATGGATATCATGAGAGAGGACACAGCCTGTCCGACATTCAGTTATTCGCTGCATGGGACTGCGCGCGTGCGAGCTCAGACGAATGAAAAGGCTCCTGTCTGGGGCTCGTGAGATAGCTACAACTCAGTTGATCCTTATGCCTTGAGTATACGATATCATATTATACTGTCATAGATCGTTAGGCCTTATAGCATACATGGCTGGATGTGTCTATTTCGAGTATTTGAAGGTTTGCTTAGCGACGAATATACTGTCATTCCACGTCCATAAGCTTATGGCCTGACTCGTCGCTATGCGAAGCGATATGCAGTTCGTGGACACAATGCGCATGAAGTTTTCAGTCGACCGGCAACTACAACATCCCTGCTGATCTTCGCTGGCGGGTCCCAGACAATTCCTGCCACACCATGGCGTGGCCTCGAGATGTTACAGCCGGTATCATCGACATCATGAAACAGCAGGATATCTGCCCGATCTCCCTGGCTCAAAGTCAGACTAGCCTCTGATGGCGATAGTCCGATTGCCGCACGAGCTCTGGTCGACACGCACTTATACAATAATTCAGCATCTGCCGTGGTACCAGCCTGGTAGAGGCCCACTCCCAGAGATGCCAGCGATAGCGGATCTTCAGAGCCCCAGGGCGTGAACGCATTACCAACGTTATTGATGCCAACCACAGCGTCCAGACCGTGCTTGTTGATCATCTCCAACACCTGCAGCGTACCCCGTGGTCGATCATGGCTCTTCGATGACGGCGACGCCATATACATGTCGCTCGTCGGCAACCCAACAAAGCTAACAGGGAGGTCATTGTCACGAATCTCCTTCGCAAGAAGCTCCCATTCCTCATCCTTGAAGAGTGTTAATCGGGTGCAATGGCCTAGCATGACCCGCTTGTCCGTGAAGTGCACTGTCCAGCCTTTCTCTTTCAGCGTGGACAGAACAAACCACACTAGGGCTTCTTTTCCGGCATCTAGATTATAATCGAGATGAAAGTCGACATGCTTGTTGTACTCCAGGGCTCTCTCAATTGCCCACCTGATGTTCTGTTTTGCCGCCCCCATTGTCACCTCCACATACGGGGTTGTCCCGATGACATCAACCTGTGGCCGTATCACCGCATCTTCCATGAGCCATCGATTCACCTCCCCATATTCCGTGGAGAATATCGGGTCCTGCGCAAACGATACAATTTGCACGGCACACGCCTCCTTCCACTCCTCCTTCAAGGCAATTCCGGCTTCCAGACAAGTGAGGTTTACTGTATGGTCCACTTCCACGAATGCCCTCATCGCCGTGACCCCTGCAGCGACCGAGCCTGCAAGGAGCCATTCCCCGCGTTTGTGGAGGTCATCGTGCGTGAAGAGTTGTTTTGCTTTGGCGGTGAAGGACAGCGCTTCAGCGAATGAGCCGGTTGCGGGAAGTAGGTGTGCGTAATCAGGGGAGTTGTGGATGAAGGCCTTGTCCAGGTGGATGTGGGGGTGTGTCAGGGCTGGAAGGGCGAGGGGGGAGCATTTATCGGAATCGGGGTTCTGGTGCGGGGTGACGGAGGTGATGATGCTGGGAGAGTCGGGAGAGATGACGATATCCCAGGTTGAGTCTCTGCCTAGAAGGCGGACGTTTTGGATGGTGTTGAGGGGTGTAAGAGTAGGTGGCATGCTGTTTGTTATCATTGGAAGTAATGAGTGTTGCCGATGGGTTGACTGATAGCTCAATCGCGGGAGCGACCTGTACGATGGCGCACAGTTGACAGAATACACTGTAGATGTAATAAAGATATATCCATCTCGGAATATATCACCTTAAAGAAAGATAGCAATGGAAGACTGCGCATGACATCTGCAGGACTCCGCTGGCCTGAGCTGGACTGGAATGGATCTATCAGTGCCCCACATCGAATCGGAGCTCTCCAGCAACACAACCTCACAACTGTCAACTGACCCCAATATTTAACACTTGACCTTCACATTCAACCTCCAAATATACCACAATCCACCTCATTCAATGTCTATTGAATCTTGATCAGTAACTTCCCCCCTTCACCTACTCCCCAAGTACATCCGACTTTAAGCGCCCATAACTAACCAATCACAGATCCCATCACACAGCACAGAGCGCGCGCGCAGCATCGCAAAACACCACATCCATAATTCCTATCTACTACCACCAACACACCTCGCACCTCCATAGCAAAGCATACCATGCGCACATCCCCAACCACAACCCCCCATCACCACCAACAATGACCACCCCCACACCAACACCAACACCAACAACTCCCAATCCCCCCCA